CATTTTAGGAAGGGATTGGGTTGTCGAGATTAATCATGTATATCGTGAGTGTAATTTCGCAGCTGACTTCCTTGCCAACAAGGGTCACTCCTTTAATTTTGGCTCACATCCCTTCAATGTGAGCGATCCAAACCTTTGTTATTGGTTGTTCTACGACAACATGGGTATTTCCATGAGTCGTGAGATTAATGATATGATCTAGAGTGCCTTTGCACCTGTCTTCTACAAAAAAAAAAAAAAAGACTAGATACATCATTTTTTTCAATGGACTTATCAAGTTGATATGGACCCACAGTCATATCATCAACTTTATCAACTATTTCAAACCACCTTTATTCTTGCAATTAGCAATTTCATCAGATGAGATCTACAACATGTTCATATAATTTATATTCAATTTAACATGTTTTTTAAACAATAACTAGACTTCATCATTGGTAGTGAGTAACCTAGGGCTGAATCTGCGATCCGTCGCCTTCAAAATCCAAGACAGATGGCATTTCCAAGAAACCGCCCGGAATCGGTGATGGTACCCCTTTGGAATCTGTCAAAAATGGCACGGGAAATATTCCGTCCCAATCGATGTTTAATAGACTTATTCATCCCTAAAGAATAGCCTCAGGCTGAATCCGTGATCTGCAGCCTTCAAAGTCTAAGGAAAACTGTCTTTTGAAAATATCGCCTAAAAATTATGAAAACATCATCCGGAAAAATTCGAGCAAATTTCCGCCCAAATCCGCGATTATTAGACTTCATCATTGGTGGAGAGTACCCTAGGGCCGAATCTGCGATCCGTCGCCTTCAAAATTAAAGAAAAATGGCATTTCCAAAAAATCGCCGAAATTGGTGATGGTACCCCTTTGGAATCTGCCCAAAATAGCCCCGGAAATATTCCGTCCGAATCGGTGTTTAATAGACTTATTCATCCCTAAAGAATAGCCTCAGGCTGAATCCGTGATCTGCATCCTTCAAAATTTAAAAAAACAGCCTTTAGAAAATATCGCCTAATATTTACGAAAATACCCTCCAGAAAAATTCGTCCAAATTTCCGCCCAAATCCGCGATTACTAGACTTCAACATAGGTGGAGAGTACCCTAAGGCCTAATCTGCGATCCGTCGCCTTCAAAATTCAAGAAAAATGGCATTTCCAAAAAATCACCCGAAATCGATGATGGTACTCCTTGGAAATCTACCAAAATGGCCCCGAAAATATTCAGTCTGAATCGATGTTTAATAGACTTACTCATCCCTAAAGAATAGCCTCGGGTTAAATCCGTGATCTGCAGTCTTCAAAATCTATGGAAAACGGCCTTTCGAAAATATCGCGTCAAAATTACGAAATACCCTCCGGAAAATTCGACCAAATTTCAGCACAAATCCGCGATTACTAGACTTCATCATTGGTGGAGAGTACCCTAGTGCCGAATCTGCGATCCGTCGCCTTCAAAATCCAAGAAAAATGACATTTCCCAAAAATCGCCCGAAATCGGTGATGGTACCCCTTTGGAATCTGCCAAAAATGGCTCCAGAAATATTCCATCCGAATCTGTGTTTAATAGACTTATTCGTCCCTAAAGAATAGCCTCAGGCTGAATTCGTGATCTGCAGCCTTCAAAATCTAAGGAAAACTGCCTTTCGAAAATATCGCCTCAAAATTAGAAAATTAACCTTAGGAAAAATTCGACCGAATTTCCGCCCAAATTCGCGATTACTAGACTTCGTCATTGGTGGAGAGTACCCTAGGGTCGAATCTGCGATCCGTCGCCTTCAAAATCCAAGAAAAATGGCATTATCCAAAAATCTGCCCGAAATCGGTGATGGTACCCCTTTGGAATCTGCCAAAAATGAGCCCTGAAATATTCCGTATGAATCGGTATTTAATAGACTTATTCATCCATAAAGAATAGCCTTAGAATGAATCCATGATCTGCAGCTTTCAAAATCTAAGAAAAAACGGCCTTTCGAAAATATCGCCTAAAAATTACGAAAATAACATCAGAAAAAATTCGACCAAATTTCTGCCCAAATCCGCGACTACTAGAAATCAGCATTGATGGAGAGTACCCTAGGCCCGAATCTGCAATCGGTCGCCTTCAAAATTCAAGAAAAATGGCATTTTCCAAAAATCGCCCGAAATCAGTGATATTACCCCTTTGGAATCTGCCATAAATGGCACTGGAAATATTCTGTCCGAATCGGTGTTTAATAGACTTATTCATCCCTGAAGAATAGCCTTAGGCTGAATCCGTGATATGCAGCTTTCAAAATCTAAGGAAAACGGCCTTTCGAAAATATCGCCTAAAAAATTATGAAAATACCCTCCTGAAATATTCGAACAAATTTTCGCCCAAATACGCGATTACTAGACTTCATCATTGGTGGAGAGTACCCCAGGGCCGAATCTACGATCCGTCGCCTTCAAAATCCAAGAAAAATAGCATTTCCAAAAAATCGCCCGAAATCGGTATTGGTACCCCTTTGGAATATGCCAAAAATGACCCCGGAAATATTCAGTACGAATCGGTGTTTAATAGACTTATTCATACCAAAAGAATAGCCTCAGCATGAATCTGTGATCTGCAGCCTTCAAAATCAATGGAAAACGGCCTTTCGAAAATATCGCCTTAAAATTACTAAAATACCCTCCAGAAAAATTCGACCAAATTTATGACCAAATCCACGATTACTAGACTTCATCATTGGTGGGGAGTACCCTAGGGCCGAATCCGCAATCCGTCGCCTTCAAAATCCAAGAAAAATGAAATTTCCTAAAAATCGACTGAAATCGGTGATGGTACCCCTTTGAAATCTGCCAAAAATGGCCCCATAAATATTTCGTCCGAATCGGTGTTTAATAGACTTATTCATCCCTGAAAAATAGCCTCAGGCTGAATCCGTGATCTACAGCCTCCATAATCTAAGGAAAACGGCATTTCGAAAATATCACCTAAAAATTACAAAAATACCCTCCAGAAAAATTCGACCAAATTTCTGCCCAAACCTACGATTACTAGACTTCAACATTGGTGGAGAGCACCCTAGGCCCGAATCTGCGATCCGTTGCCTTTAAAATCCAAGAAAAATAACATTTCCAAAAAATCCAAGAAATGAGGCCTTTCCAAAAAATCGTCTGAAATCGGTGATGGTACCACCCCTTTGGAATCTGCCAAAAATGGCCCCGGAAATATTCCGTCCTAATATGTGTTTAATAGACTTATTCATCCCTAAAGAATAGCCTCAAGCTGAATCCGAGATCTGCAGCCTTCAAAATCTAAGGAAAACGGCTTTTCGAAAATATCGCCTGGAAATTAGGAAAATACCCTCAGGAAAAAATCGACCAAATTTCCGCCCAAATCCGCGATTACTAGACTTCATCATTGGGGGAGAGTACCCTAGCGGCGAATCTACAATCTGTCGCCTTCAAAATCCAAGAAAAATGGCATTTCCAAAACATGGCCCATAATCGGTGATGTACCCCTTTGGACTCTGCCAAAAATGGCCCCGGAAATATTCCATCCGAATCGTTGTTTAATAGACTTAGTCATCCCTAAAAAATAGCCTCAGGCTGAATCCGTGATCTGCAGTTTTCAAAATCTATGAAAAACAGCCTTTCGAAAATATATCCTAAAAATTATGAAGATACCCTCCAAAAAAATTCAAACAAATTTCCGCCCAAATCCGCGATTACTAGACTTCATCATTGGTGGAGAGTACCCTAGGGCCGAATCTGCGATCCGTCGCCTTCAAAATCCAAGAAAAATGGCATTTCCAAAAAATCACCCGAAATCGATGAAGTATACCCCTTTGGAATCTGCCAAAAATGGCCCCGAAAATATTCCATCAGAATCGGTGTTTAATAGACTTATTCATCCCTAAAGAATAGCCTCAGGCTGAATCTGTGATTTGCAGCCTTCAAAATCTATGGAAAACGTCCTTTCGAAAATATCTCCTAAAAATTATGAAAATACCCTCCGAAAAAATTTGACCAAATTTCCCCCCAAACCGCGATTACTAGACTTCATCATTGGTGGAGAGTACCCTAGGGCCGAATCTGCGATCCGTCGCCTTCAAAATCAAAGAAAAATGGCATTTCCAAAAAATCGCCTGAAATCGGTGATGTACCCCTTTGGAATCTGCCAAAAATGGCCCCGGAAATATTCCATCAGAATCGGTGTTTAATAGACTAGTCCATCCCTAAAGAATAGTCTAAGGCTGAATTCGTGATCTGCAGCCTTCAAAATCTATGGAAAAAGGTCTTTCGAAAATATCGCCTTAAAATTCCGAAAATACCCTCCGGAAAAATTCGACCAAATTTCCGCCCAAATCCGCGATTACTAGACTTCATCATTGGTGGAGAGTACCCTAGATCCGAATCTGCGATCCGTCGCCTTCAAAATTCAAGAAAAATGACATTTCCAAAAAATCCAAGAAAAATGACATTTCCAAAAAATTGCCCGAAATCGTTGATGAGTACCCCATTGGAATCTACCAAAAATGGCCCTGAAAATATTTAGTCTGAATCGATGTTTAATAGACTTACTCATCCTTAAAGAATAGCCTCAGACTGAATCCGTGATCTGAAGTTTTCAAAATCTATGGAAAACGGCCTTTCGAAAATATCGCATAAAATTACGAAAATACCCTCTGAAAAAATTCGACCAAATCTCCACCCAAATCCGCGATTACTAGACTTCATCATTGGTGGAGAGTACCCTAGGGTCGAATCTGCGATCCGTCGCCTTCAAAATATAAGAAAATGGTATTTCCAAAAAATCGCCCGAAATCGGTGATAGTACCCCTTTGGAATCTGCCAAAAATGACCCCGAAAATATTCAGTCTGAATTGTTGTTTAATAGACTTATTCATCCTAAAGAATAGCCTCAGGCGGAATCTGTGATCTGCAGCATTCAAAATCTAAGGAAAACGGCCTTTCAAAATTATCGGCTAAAAATTACGAAAATACCCTCCGGAAAAATTAGACCAAATTTCCGCCCAAATCCGCGATTACTAGACTTCATCATTGGTGGAGAGTACCCTAGATCCGAATCTGCGATCCGTCGCCTTCAAAATTCAAGAAAAATGGCATTTTCGAAAAATCGTCCGAAATCGGTGATGGTACACCTTTGGAATCTGCCAAAAATGGCCCCGGAAATATTCCGTCCATATCGGTGTTTAATAGACTTATTCATCTCTAAGGAATAGCCTCAGACTGAATCCGTGATCTGCAGCCTTCAAAATCTAAGGAAAACGGTGTTTCGTAAATATCTCCTAAAATTATGAAAGTACCATCTGGAAAAATTCAACCAAATTTCCGCACAAATCCGCAATTACTAGACTTCATCACTGGTGGAGAGTACTCTAGGGTCGAATTTGGGATCCATCGCCTTCAAAATCCAAGAAAAATGACATTTCCAAAAAAATCACCTGAAATCGGTGATGGTACCATGTGACGTGGTAAGTACTGGCTGGGTGAGGTAGAGAGGCGCACATCGTGCTCCCAAACAAAATAACAAAGAATGTTGCCTATGTAGCTTGCAATCTTCCTTCTTATTGGACACATGTTATGGACGAGAATTGGTGCTCCCTACATGGCATATCGTACGATTGCAACATGACCTACTTTATGACTCGAACTCGATGGTGACCAAGACTCCAAGCCATCTGTAATTCTTCAAAATCAACTCTAAATTCCACAGGGGTTATGGAGCAAACACCCGGATTGCAAGCAAACGCCGCTAAGCAATGTCCATCATGATCTCTGATTAGGCCACCCACAACAACGTGGTATGTGGAATAATAGAGTTGTCTAAATGGAGAGTAACCCACTTTCAAGGCGACAACTGCTACAACATTTTAATCTTCGTTTATGTGGGTAAGGTAGGCAAGTGTATGAGACTGTCCTTATCTAGAGCTATCTACACACCACACTACATTAATCCAAGCCTGGACTCGCTCAATGAAGGATTCACAAGTAAAGTTTTGTTGGCAAAGACACGGTCCTTTCTGGTCCACCATAGAGAAGAGCATGACTCAATAGAAGAGGTCATCCATGGGCCAAGGAGCCCAGCCCAAGAAGAAAAAGAACGACAACCCCAACAGTCGTCCTACCGTCGCTCAAGCCCTAATCTTCTAGAACCCTCGTAAAAAGATTTTAGTCGATGAGTTAGCTGCGTACAATGTCGAAAAACACTATCTAAATATTTTTAATTGTTGAAGTGCTTTAATAATTTGGATTCTCTTATTCTACCAAACAATTTGAACGTTTCAACTATTTGAATAATTTAGATTTGCTTATACTATCAAAATCACGTATCTTACAAACAATTAGATAATATTATTTATGTGATTGGCAACTAAATCCGGCCAACTGGTCGGTTCCGTGACTAGTTGGTATCAATGGACAAACCTCTACGGTAAAAGAAAACCAGATCAACAATAGCTGTGAAATACCGCTGTATTGGGGGCAATCACCGAAAGGCCTAAAAGCCATTGGCGCCTCCCATTCCCAACCTCCCACAGCTTTAAATCAATCACACACACACACACATAAAACAATTTCTGCCATCTTTCCCTTCCACTTCTGGCGGAGGGTTATAAATAACCACCGCGCAAAGTTTCCATCCCTCCTCGTCTTCTCTCTCTAGAATCGCCATTGAAATCCAATCCAAATCGAAGCTCGAATTTTACTCCCTTCCTCTCAATTTCTCTCTCAATTCTCGCCCCCTCCTTGTTTTAGATCGTCATTCCGCTTCCCCAGGTACTCCTATCCTCCTCTGTCCCCCTCTGTCTCTGCTGCATTATTGTCTCCCCGTCAATCCGCCATGGATCTAGCTTCCTTTCACTTCTAACTTCTCGCCCTTCATTTTCCATATCCGAGTTTATTTGTTAGTTTCAATCCGGAGGAAAATCTTGTATCCGAACCACCGATTTGGCGATTACCGTTCGGCCGACATTGTGCTTTTGCTTTCTCTGAATTTTTGTTTGTTTTGCTGTATTGCATTCAGCCGAGGTGAGATTGCCGCGGTTCGAGATCTCGAATCAGGAACCTGCTGCTGCTGCTGCGATGACCACGGCCAACGGCGGCGAGGTTCGCTCTTCCGCGGCCAACGGCGGAACCAAGCCGTTCAAGATCTTCGTCGGTTACGATCCGCGCGAAGATCTGGCGTACAAGGTCTGCCGGCACTCCATCCTCAAGAGATCTTCAATCCCCGTCGAGATCCATCCGATCATCCAGTCCGACCTCCGGAAGGGCGGCCTGTACTGGCGGGAGCGGGGCAAGCTGGAGAGCACCGAGTTCTCCTTCTCCCGTTTCCTCACCCCGCACCTGGCCAATTACGACGGCTGGGCCATGTTCGTCGACTGCGATTTCCTCTACCTGGCCGACATCAAGGAGCTCCGCGATCTGGCCGACGATAAGTACGCCATCATGTGCGTCCACCATGACTACACCCCAAAGGAAACCACCAAGATGGATGGCGCCGTACAGACAGTTTACCCGAGGAAGAACTGGTCCTCCATGGTGCTCTACAACTGCGGGCACCCGAAGAACAAGGTGCTGACCCCGGAAGTTGTGAATGGCCAGACGGGTGCTTACCTCCACAGGTTCCAGTGGCTTGATGATGGAGAAATTGGGGAAGTCCCCTTTGTTTGGAACTTCTTGGAGGGCCACAACAGGGCTGTGGAAGGTGATCCTTCCACCCTCCCCAAGGCGATTCATTACACCCGCGGAGGGCCGTGGTTCGATGCTTGGAAGAACTGCGAGTTTGCTGACCTTTGGCTCGATGAGATGGAGGAGTACATGAAGGAGACCAAGAAATAAAGTGGGAATTGAGAGAGGTAAACATTATGCTCATCGTATATAGAACAACACTATATTCGTGCTTCATTTTCTTTTTTTATGTTGAATTAATTCTTGTATGGAGTTGTAGATCTACGAAAGCTTTGTGTTTCTGTTCGTCTGCAATTACATAGGGGAAACAGAAATCCTGCCACTGTGGATTGTTAGGAAAGATGGTTTCATTACGTTGTTGTTTCATTATTCATCTGTTAGTTAATTACCTTGATCAAGTATTTATCCCTACTGCTGGAATTTTATTGTACATGGATCTATGTTAATTATATCTAGTTATTGAGACTAAATGGTTTATGATATCGTACCGGAATCGAATTTGATTTTGTGGTCGTTTAAGTTCTTACATTCCTCAATATTGGCTTTTGTTGAGATGGGGATTTGCGGCATCTTTGTACATTTTAGGCCTCTGGTTCTGGCGTTCTGCTTTGCTTTGATCGCAACGCATTATGATTACAAATCCGATTTACGTGCACAATCTGGTAGGGGACGAAATCGATGAGAAGAGAATCTGAAGAATAGAATGATGAAACCTATGCGGTTGATTGAACAGGCTCGATCCCCCTGCTCTTTTTGGAAGGTCGAAAGTCTATGCGGACGCTGCAGCATTGGTTTTGGTATTGTCGGTGGAACGCAAGTGACAACTGAGCTGGCTCACTCCATCTCATCGCATCTTTCTGGCACATGCCGTTACAGCTTTCGTTCCATCTGCGCTGGAAAGATCCTATTGGATTAGATGCTTTTGGTTTAGGAGGAGTGAAAGAGGAGGATTAAACACATAGCCATTAATCTGGAAGTTTGGTATCGGTATTTAGGATATATCGAATATCGTATCGAATTTATCACTGTTTGGTATTATCGAATACCGATTTATTTTTTAACGATTGAGATTGGGATACATTTTCGAGTGTTATTCGATATTGCCGATTACAAGATTGGGATCGGTATGATACTCAAATACCGACAAAACCAAAAATTAAAAATTAATGACATTTAGCACACATCCATTTGTTATTCCTCCCTCTTTGACAACTCAAAAACCCCATCCAATTCAATTTCAACTTTCTAGTTTAAGTCACTAGCCTCTCACTCAATCTTTTGTTATTTTCATAACACCAAAAACCATACACTCTCATTAGTCTTCTTCCGACCTCCAATCCGTTGAATTAAAGATTACTGATGACAAGAAACTGAGATGACATGTCACCATCTCCTCTCTTCTCCTTATCCATGTACTATCTTAGGCGAACTCAAGACTTTAGTCTCTTTGTCCAACATTAGATTACATACTCTAAATTATATATTTAATTATTAATTGCAAATACTGATTGGAATACTGACATTACCGATTAGGATACCGGAATATTTAGAGGTTGAGATTGAGATACTGAATTAATTTAGGGATTGAGATTGATTTACAGTGTAATTTGGTATTTGGGATTTCAGTATTTGGTATCGGGATACCAACAATACCAACTAGGATACCGACATATTTAGGAATTGGGATATCAAATCAATTTAGGGATCGGGATTGATTTTATGGCATAATTCGATATTTAGGATTTTGGTATTTGGTATCGGGATATCAATATCGTACTGATTTCCACCCCTACATGCCATACTGTCATTTTTTGTTTAACGAAAGTTGATAGGAGAGGGTTACAAATGAGTCGAGTTTTACCCTAATTTGAGCTCGGCTAGTTAATAAACGAGTTGAACACGAGCTTGACTTGTTTACCAAAATCTTGAAAAATTAATAATAGTCAAATGTCCAGTATTATCTCATACTATACTTTGTTGGTATCATATAATTTAGTTAACTAGCTTTTTAGCCGGCACGTTGGCCGATGAGTTTAATTTAACATTTACATTAATCAATTTATCTATATGTTTAAACTATTTTGGATCTTCTAAATTTTTTACATTTGCATTCATTCATTGGTGAGTATGCGGTGCGTCTATAAATTAAAAATTCTCAATACTTAGCACATTCACTTATGATGCTTCGATTCACTGATCATAAATCATGTCACAAAGATATATCACGTCCCATATAGAATCTTATGTCAAGATTTGTCAATAACGATACTCAATTTTTTTTGTCTTATACAATATATGTCATTCAATGAATCTCGAGTTTGGACGAACTCTCAACCAATGATGTTGCTCAGATGACGACAACTTAGTTAGAATTTTTTTATGAAGGTACTTCAATATTACATAAATTTGGTCATTCCAATTGAAAATTTATTGTCTTAGTGTAAGATCATATTTGTCTATCAAGACAGTCAATTTAATATCTTATACAATATGTACCAATTGTTAACTCCTGAAGTTTAATATAGACTCACCCTCAACTCATGGTCATTGTTTAGATGTTGGTTTAGAATCTCGGTCCAAGATACGCACACACTGTCGAGGGTTCTAATCTTAACATGGTCCATTGTTGAATAATTTTCTAACTTATCAAATATGCATTTGCTCAAATTTATTTATCTTTGGTGTTTGTTTTGAGATAAAAATTCCATTACTTATACTAATATCTTCATTTTGTTGGTGTAATGCCACATCTATTGTCAATATCTAAGCATGATACTATACTCTAAGTAAGAAAATGCTATATGGACCACGAATTAACCGGATTTGTGGGCATGATACTATACCCTAACCCTTAATGAGTGAATCCTAGGTCTTAGTTATCTAAATCATAGAGCTTAACCCCTAAGATTGTGAATGTAATTTGTTGCATAGATTTAGCTACATTAATTGTTGCATGTAATTTTTTGCTATTTAATTATTGTTTTCGTTGATAGATACAAACATTAGAAAGAGATAGTGTTTGATAACCAAAACGTAAAATTATATAGTTGGTTTTTCAAATTCAATTGATTATTAAATGTTGATTATCTAAACTTTCTTCATTATATTTTGTTTATAAATTTTTTTATTACTTATCTGTGTGTTTAATTTATTTTTGTATCGAAATGTAACCTATATTAAGTTCTAATAATAATAATAAGAAAAATTAATAGATCAGATTTAATCAAATATTTTTTTTTAAGCATTACGAAATCGATGAGAAGAACATCTGAAAAGTAGAATGATGAAACCTATGCGGTTGATTGAACAGCTTCTATCCCCCTGCTTTTTTGGAAGGTTGAAAGTCTATGCGGACGCTGCAGCATTGGTTTTGGTATTGTCGGTGGAACGCAAGTGACAGCTGAGCTGGCTCACTCCATCTCATCGCATCTTTCTGGCACATGCCATTTAGGGGTGGATATTGGTGCGGTTCGGACCGCATCGCACCGCATTGATATAAACCGCACCGCATCTTAATCGAGCCGCACCGCATTTCGACCGCTATGTTATCGGTGCGGTCAAACCAAACCGCATAAATTAACGGTTTGATACGGTTTAGACCGCACCGCATCTTGACGGTTTGTACATAATTAAATAAAAATTACTCAGTTTCTAGCCACCAAAACAAACAGAGCAGTATGTTTAGAGCATTGTATTCTAGAGAACACAGTGCCTGTAATCTTCTGAAATGCTAAGTTTCTGGAAAGTTGGATTGATATTTCTTCTTCTGGAGAACACAGTCACCATTCACCAATCCTAACCTCAGATCTGTAACAAATGCAAATGTGACCATGAGATTCCTGCATTCATGAAATTGGTGAACTAAGCTCAGAAATCATCACTTGTCACTTGAACCGTATGGAACCAAACATTTCGCTAGAAGTATCCCCATTCAAATGTAAGCAAACGTTTCAGCTTTCATGGCCCTTGTAAGAGCATTTTCCAGTTTTTCTCTCTGATGACATCCAGTTTTGCTCTTGGACTGGAAACCAGATCCTGAAAAACAACAAAAGAAGGAGATAATGAACCCATTGGCATCATCCTGATATCAACATAACCAGGCGCAAATGGATGAAACCCAGAACAGTAAAGTTGCAGACGAGAAAAGAGCTGGTTGAGCCAATGCTCGTCCCAGCTGATGGAAGAGGAGAAGGCACGAGGCTCTACGTGTCCAATCTGGATTATACGGTGGCGTGCTTGTTTCCCCCCCCCCCCCCTCTATTTTGTACAGAACATGTTGTGATCTTTAACCAAAAACACCACCATATATGCTGAAACCTGAAAGAGCAGAGCCACGTAAAGACCTTCTGCTACTTCTCTTTGTGTAGGCTTCTGTTTGAATGTATATAAATCAGCTAGTGCTGCTTCCTTTCTGATGATTACCGGTAAGTAACCCATGTTCACATATGCTTCAATGGGCTACTTTGGTTGTGTATATTTTCCTCTTTCTGCCGAGAAGCATGGCTCTGTTCTTCTGGTAAAGTTGATGCATCCTAATCTGGATTATGGGGTTACTAGTCAGGACATTAAGGTAATCAAACTGCATTTCTTGGTTCCCTCTTTCAATGGATTGCTTCTTTCTCAGGAGGAATCAAGGGTTGATTAGGTGGCGTAAGAACCCTTCGACCCAAGAACAACAGTGAGATTCAGAATTGAGTTCGACCCTGGAGCTAGAGAGGGCTTCTTTCTCCAACGAATTGGGAACGAAAACCATGACTATATGGGTTTCGAAGAAATCACACTATTCAAATATAGAACCAAAGGAGAAAAGCATACCTGATCTCGCCGGTACTGGTGTTTTTGACAGTCGGCCAAAGCACCGGAGCTCTGAGAATAGGAAAGATCGAGATGCCTTCGATCCTAGAAATCTCCCGCCTCTTGGTGTATTTGACAGTCCACCAAAGCTGGGGAAGATGGCGCCGTGGAGAGAAGATGGCGGAATGAGAGAATGGTCAGATCTGGTGCTTCCGGAGAGAAGATGGCGCCGTGGAGAGAAGATGGTGCCGCCGGAGAGAAGATGGCGTCGTGTCGTCGTTGTCGTCTCGCCGAGTGAATAGCTGTTGTCGTGTGTTGTGTGGTGAGAAGAGGCGTCTGGCCTAGATTAGGCGCATTAGGGATTAGCGGATTGTGGTTTCAAACCGCAAACGAGCGGTTTGGGTCAATCCGAACCGTGAACCGCCAAGGATTAACGATCAGACCGCAAATGAAACCGTTATTTTAATGATGCGGTTTGGATTGACCGCATAAGCGGTTTGGGGCGATTTGGAGCGGTTTGGTCAAACCAATACCCACCCCTAATGCCATTACAGCTTTCGTTCCATCTGCGCTGGAAAGATCCTATTGGATTGGATGCTTTTGGTTTAGTAGGAGTGGAAGGGGAGGATTCGACGCATAGAAGTTTGGTACCGTTACTATTTAGGATATATCGAATATCATATCGAATTTATCATTATTTGGTATTACTGAATACCGATTTATCTTTTAACGATTGAGATTGTGATACATTTTCGAGTGTTATTCGGTATTTTCGATTACGGGATTGGGATCGGTATGATACCCAAATATCGAAAAAACCGAAAATTAAAAATTAATGACACATAGCACACAACCGTTTGTTATTCCTCCCTCTTTGACAACTCAAAAACCCCATCCAATTCAATTTCAACTTTTTAGTTTATGTCACTAGTCTCTCACTCAATCTTTTGTTATTTTCATAACACCAAAAACCGTACACTCTCGTTAGTCTTCTTTCGACCTCCAATCCGTTGAATTAAAGATTACTGATGACAAGAAACTGAGATGACCTGTCACCATCTCCTCTCTTCTCCTTATCCATGTACTATCTTAGGCGAACTCAAGACTTTAGTCTCTTTGTCCTAGATTAGATTACATACTCTAAATTATATATTTAATTATTAATTGCAAATACCGATTGGAATACTGACATTACCGATTAGGATACCAGAATATTTAGAAGGTTGAGATTAAGATACTGAATTAATTTAGGGATTGAGATTGATTTACAGTGTAATTTGGTATTTGAGATTTCAGTATTTGGTATCGGGATACCGACAATACCAACTAGGATACCGACATATTTAGGGAATGGGATATAGAATTAATTTAGGGATTGGGATTGATTTTATGGCGTAATTCGATATTCAGGATTTTGGTATTTGGTATCGGGATATCAATATCGTACTGATTTCCACCCCTACATGCCATACTGTCATTTTTTGTTTAACGAAAGTTGATAGGAGAGGGTTACAAATGAGTCGAGTTTTACCCTAATTTGAGCTCGGCTAGTTAATAAACGAGTTGAACACGAGCTTGACTTGTTTACCAAAATCTTGAATTGTATTTGATACTTCATTTTGTATGTCATGTATGATACATGTGATTGATATCATGATGAAAAATTAATAATAGTCAAATGTCCAGTATTATCTCATATTATACTTTGTTGGTATCATATAATTTAGTTAATAAAATTTAACTAATACAAATAATGTTATTTCATACTATCGAAGCAATCTATTATACATAATTTCTTTTTAAATTAAAAAATAGGCTGAATTACACGTTAGGTCACTCAAATTACATAAATTTTTCACGTTTTCCCCCGAATTACTTTTCTTTCTTATTCGCCACTAACTTTACGAATCGTTTCACTGTTAGTCACTACCGTTAGTATCCGTTAACTGTCAATTTTTTAATGATGTGGCGAACAGAATTGCTGACTGGACCGTTAAGTTAATGACATGACAATTAAAAAAATAAAATGACTCTCAAGTCTGTAAGGTCAGGTGGGGTGTTGTGAAGTTTTTTTTATAAGGTGTTTGGTTGTCAAGAATGATGGTGGGCACTCTGGCAATCAGAAAGACAACATGTTTAACACGGTCACCAAAAAAACTAGCAAGGAGATCAGCTTGAAACATGAGAGCTCTAGCAACAAGAAGAATATGTTGATGCTTTTTTTCTACCTTATTATTTTGTTGGAGAGTTTCAACACATGACAACTCAAGCGAAATACCTGAGAAATTATGGAAATCATCCATTTGAAACTCTTTTCCTTGATCGCTTCTTATCTTGTGAGCAGAAATTTGAAATTGTCTTTCAATTTGAAGGAAAAAAATGAATCAGTTTAGATCTGGCTTCATATTTAAGTTGTAACTCGAAGATCCAGGTCATACGAGAATAGTTATAAACAATGGTTAAAAAATATTTGAAACCATCATAAGTTGGAACTAGGTTGGGACCCCATATATCAACATGAAGAAGCTGAAAAGATCTTTGAGTTACAGTTTGACTCATAGGAAAAGGAGTTTCCTTTTCTTAGCAAAGTGAACAAATCAGTTGATCTTTGTAAGTTTGAATGGAGGTACAAAATTGGCGGAGGTGAGGGAATTTAGAGCGGGAAACATGTCCTAATGAAAAGTTCCAAAGATAAAAAAAATATATGTCCTAGCAGCAGTGATAATTTAGGTTTACCATCTACTTCTAGATGATAAAGAGCATTGAAGAGTCTAGCAGAAGTAGAACTAGTCATTCTCTTTAGCTCTAGGTCCTGTATGAGACAAAAGTCAGAATAGAAGGTTAAGTAAAAGGATTTTTTGGTGGTCAGCTTGCTGCCTGAAACAAATTTGAAGGTAAAAGATGAGGAACAAATAAGACTTCCTCAAGGGTAAGAAATGAGCTGCACTTTGCAGTTCCAATATGAGTGGCTTGTATTTTCTCTCCAGTAGGTAATGTAATGTAGACATTGTCAATGCTTCTGTAATTAGTTAGGTAATCTAGAGAGCAGGTAATGTGACCTGAAGCACCATTATCAAGAATCCAATCTTTAGAAGTCTTAGTATTTTCAAGCTTGGTAGGAATAGAACAAATGTATTTACCTGAACTTCCCGAGTTGGAGACATAAGCAGCTATAATGAATAAAGGGCCTTGAGATTTTTGGTTGTGCATTAAGCTCATCAACTTATATAGTCTGCTTTGTTAGGCTTTACCTTGTGCTCTCCATTCTCAGCAACTGCATAGTTGGCATATTGCCTACCTCTGGCTCCAGAATTGGAAGGATTCCTGGGTCTAGCATTTGGGGAAAATCCATGTTTCTGGAAGCATCTATCTTCTGAATGTCCATGTCTCTGATAGAATGTGCATTCCGGAATCCTTACTTGTGGAGCAGATGTTCCTGGAGTCATCTCCAAACAATACTCGAGCTCTCACTCCAGCAAAGTTTTCATTCAAACCTCCAAAGAATTTAATGGCATAATTTGTGTCATGGTAATCTAACACCATCTTCATAGCCCTACTGTCTCTGTGACTAGCAGGTGTGCATTCACAAGGCAGTAAGGCTTGATAATTATCTAATTCGTCCTTCAAAGTTCAAAGTAATCACTTTGCCATAGTACTCAGTAATGGTCTGATTACCTTCTTGGAGGTTTGACAGAGCTTCTTCTAACTTTGCAACTCTGATAATATCTTCAGATCCATATATGGACTACAAACTTTTCCAAGCATTTGCGACAGTTTTGCTGGAGAGGATGGTCTTTCTGATTTCTAAGTCGATTGCTTGTTGAATCCAGCTAAGGATCATGATATTGTTCCTCACCCAGGCTCCATGAAGTGGATTTGTTGGCTCCGGCTCAGCAAGAACACCATTAATAAAACCAAACTTGTTCTTAGCAGCTAAGGCTTTGTACGTAGCCCAGCTCCAATCGTTGTAATTTGTCGTACTGAGTTTTTCTCCCACTAAAAAAGACAAGGTTTCTCATATCAATGTAAGAAAAATGGATCTTCCATCTGGTAGACGTTTGGTTGAGGTTGTGGTTGTGGTTGTAGCTGAGGTTGTTAGCATTCATTTATGTATTATCATTGTTCCCTTCCATGGTGGCGGCGACAGGAGACCTTGTAAACCAAGATCATAATAGCATGGATCTTAGAATTAGATGATTTCACGAATCGATAATAGATCGGGAAAACCTACCTCGATCCATGACGAGAGCGGCGGCGGCGCTGGAGTAGTAATCACCGGAATTGAGTTTCTCCCTCTTGACCCCTTTAGGTTTTAGGTTTAGAGATTTCTGTGATGGCTAAGAAATTCTACGTAATGGGTTGAGAGAGGACCAATCCTAGGACTTCTTTATATAGACCCACCATCAGGGCATATTAGGAATTTACCTTTCATTAACCTAATCAATATAGGATTTACCTTATATTAAATCATTAAGTGATAATTACACTTGGGCCACAATTATTCCCTAGTTACCTGCGGGAATTGGGCTTACATTCTCCCACTTGGTCCATGTCTCATTATATATCACAAGATCTAATAATAAACATAAGTGTGCACATCATAAGATAAATCCATAATATTTGGTTCACCATAAAGTCATAATAAAGTATGAAAGCTAGATTAGGATCATGGCGGTTCTGTATCAATTTATCGACATAGTCCCTTCCATGTACAACTAAACCAGTCTCATGCTCAATATGACGCATAACAAGGTAGTCATAATGGTCCAACAATAATGTCTTCACTAAAGACAAAAATCTTGTTTTGTTCACATAATGCATAATGTATATATACTAGTCATAATAAATAAAACAAGATTCATAACTTTATTCCAGAAACAAAATAGATGAGCTCAAAGTGTCAATCCATGAAACATAAAATAACTTTAGTCATGACGTCCTATAATCCCCATCCTTTCGACATGTTCAGTAAATGTCTTAGGAGGCAATCCTTTTGTTAATGGATCAGCAATCATAAGCTGTGTGCTAATATGCTCGATCGACACCCTTTGTTTCTGAACTTCTTCCTTAACGACAAAGTATTTCACCTCCATATGCTTAGCACCCTTCGAATACTTGTCATTCTTAGAGAAGAATACCGCTGCGGAATTATCACAGTAAATTTTCAGCGGCTTGGCGATAGTGTCGACAATTCCAAGTCCAAAAATAAAATTCCGCAGCCATAAACCATGATTTGTAGCTTCATAACAAGCTATGAATTCAGCTTCCATAGTGGATGTGGCAATAACAGACTGCTTCGCACTCTTCCATGAAATTGCCCCTCCGGCTATAAGGAACAAATAGCCAAAAGTAGACTTCCTGGTGTCTACACATCCAGCATAATCTGAATCTGAATATCCAATCACCTCAAGGTGATCAGATCTCCTAAAGGTGAGCATGTGGTCTTTTGTTCCTTGCAGATACCTTAGTACCTTCTTTGCAGCTTTCCAATGATCTACTCCTGGATTACTTTGATACCTGCCCAGCATTCCGACAGCGAAACTGATGTCTGGTCTGGTACAAGTTTGTGCATAATTCAAACTTCCAACAATAGATTCATAAGGAATGTGTTCCATTTGCTTGCGTTCCAATTCATTCTTTGGACATTGTTTGAGACTAAATTTATCTCCCTTCTGAATTGGAACGACATTTGCAGAGCATTCAGCCATGTTGTATCTCTCTAGGATCCGGTTAATGTATGATTTCTGAGACAATCCCAACAGTCCTTGTGATCTATCACGAAATATTTCTATTCCAATCACATAGGATGCCTCACCCAAATCCTTCATTTCAAAGTTCTTAGAGAGAAACTCCTTGGTTTGATGTAATAAACCAAGATCATTTGTAGCAAGCAAGATATCGTCAACATACAGAACTAAAATTATAAACTTACTCCCACTAATCTTCAGATATATACATCGATCGACGATGTTCTCCCTAAATCCAAAAGATGTAATGGTATCATTGAACTTAATATACCATTGTCGGGAAGCTTGTTTAAGTCCGTATATTGACTTCTTTAATTTACACACCATATGTTCTTTTCCCTCAACCACAAAACCTTCAGGTTGATCCATATAGACTGCTTCATCTAAATTCCCATTTAGAAAGGCGGTTTTCACATCCATCTGATGGAGCTCTAGATTATAATGAGCTACCATTGCCATGACAATCCTTAAGGAGTCTTTCTTAGAGACGGGTGAAAATGTCTCTTTATAGTCAACACCACTTTTCTGAGTGAAACCTTTGGCAACAAGTCTGGCCCTGTGTCTTTCGATATTGCCATTAGAGTCGTGTTTGGTCTTCCAGACCCATCTATTACCAACTCTTTTACAACCTTCAGGCAAATCAACAAGGTCCCAAACTTCATTTTTATACATAGATTTCATCTCTTCTTTCGCGGCAGCTAACCATTTATCAGAATGCTCACTTTCCATGGCTTGTGAAAATGAAACTGGATCATGATAGAGTCCTAAATCAGATTCTAACTCGTGAATATAAACCTCATAATCATCAGAAATTGCAGGCCTTCGATTTCTTGTAGACCTTCTTAATGCGATTTCATGTGGTTCATCTATGTTAGGTTCATTCTCAATAGCAATATTAGGTGGTGCTTGACCTTTCATTTGTTGTTCCTGCAAATCGTTATCATGCTCAACATGTGCAGGAGCAACAACTTGAGAAGAGGGTAGAGGTAAAGATATTTGCACTCTAACTTCTTGAATTTCCACATTGCGTGGCTCTAAGCTCCTACTAACTTCACCATTCTCAATGAACCTAGCATTTCCAGTTTCAACAATTCTCATACTATGGTTAGGGCAATAAAATCGATACCTCTTAGATTTTTCTGGATAACCAATGAAGAAATCACTGATTGTTCGTGAGTCCAGTTTCTTTTCATGTGGATTATATATTCTCACTTCCGCTGGGCAACCCCAAACATGCAGGTGCCTTAAACTGGGTTTCCTTCCCGTCCACAGTTCAAAAAATGTCTTAGGAACTGCTTTACTAGGAACCCTGTTTAACAAATACACAGCGGTCCTTAAAGCGTGCATCCACAATGATTTGGGTAAAGATGAGTTGCTTAACATACTCCTAACCATATCCATTAAAGTACGATTACGCCTTTCTGCAACACCATTTTGTTGCGGTGTTCCTGGCATAGTGTATTGAGCACAAATACCACGTCTTTCTAGAAACTTAGCAAATGGACCAGGGCACTGTCCACTTTCATCATATTTTCCATAATATTCTCCACCCCTATCAGATCTGACAATTTTCACCTTTCTTTCTAATTGCCTCTCAACTTCATTGATAAACACCTCAAGGGTATCTACCGACTGAGATTTTTCATGCAGCAAATAGATATATCCATAACGTGAAAAATCATCGATAAAGGTAATAAAATACTTTTCTCCACCAAGTGATGGAACATCAAAAGGCCCACAAATATCAGTGTGTATAATTTCAAGGAGCTGTGAGCTTCTTGTGGCTGCTTTCTTAAGTGTGTGTTTTGTGTGTTTTCCTTTAATACACTCAACACAAATTCCAAGATCAGTAAAATCCAAATGAGGAAGGATTTCATTCTTTACTAGCCTTTCCATTCTTTCTTTGGATATGTGACCCAAACGTTTATGCCACAAGTAAGCAGAGGATTCATCAAACAAACTACGTTTAATACCAACATTATGATGCAAGGTTAAGAGAGTCTCAGCGAATAGGGTATCAAGCTTTAGTTTGTACAAACCATCAACAAGGGTACCAGAACCCAATAAAATATTCTGTTTGAACAAACTAATAGAACCATTTCCAATGTTCCAAAAATACCCAGCCTTATCTAGTTGAGACACCGAAACCAAATTACGAGAAATGGAAGGAGCATAAAGGGTATTGACTAGGTCCAAAGGATGACCAGTATCTAAAACCAAACGATAAGTCCCAATAGCTTCAACTGGAACTTTGGCTCGGTTTCCCATATAGATGAACTTCTCATTTTGCCTTATGGTTTGGGTCGTAAGGAATCCCTGCATTGTTTTGGAAACATGAATGGTACAACCAGTGTCAACCCACCAAGTATTATAAGGAACCTCAGTTAAATTTGATTCGAAACATACTGAAGCACTAGGCTTACCCTTTCTTTCGAACCATGCCTTTCTTTTCAAGCAATCTTTCTGATAATGTCCGGCTTTCTTACAGAAGCGACATATATCCTTACTTGGTTCCTTCTTGTGGATTTTGGCAGATGACTCATTAAGCTTTGATAGTCCTTCCTTGCCCTTCCCATTCTTGTTCCATGGTTTCTTTCCAGCTCCTTTATGACCAACAAGATTGGCAGAGTGATTTCCTGGTTTCTTAAGCCTTGCTTCCTCTTGAATGAGCATGCTTTGTAACTCATGCACATTCCATTTATCCTTTAGAGTATTGTAATGCACATGGAATGTGCCATACTCTGGAGGTAAGGAATTAAGGATAAACGTTACTAGGAAATTTTCATTCACTTCCATTCCCATGGTCTTTAGTCTTGTTGCAATGTTTGTCATTTCGACGATATGCTCATGCATGGTACGAGAACCATCAAACTTCATGGTGGTTAGCGTACCCATCATTGTCCCAGCAAGCGACTTATCAGCAGACTCAGATTGAGAGCTTTCTTTCACGGAATTCATAAATTCCTTAGCACTTTCAGTATCATTGAAAGTTGACTTAATGTTGTTTGCTACAGTCATTCGCATAAACATTAGGCTTAGTCTGTTAGATCTTTCCCAAGCTTTATGGAAAGACTTTTCCTCAGCACTGCTAGCATCAGTAAGAGCAGCAGGTTTCTCACTTAAGAGTGCCAAATCAAGATCCAGAACACCGAGGTGAAATTGAACCTGTTCAGCCCATTCAGAGAAGTTGAGGCCATTAAACTTAACTACAGACGTGGCTTGCGAATGAAGAGAAACAGGAACAGATGCTGCAAACACATATAACATGTACTCACACATTAATGCTTTGGGTAATAAGCATAAACTATAATACAGATTCGTGAGCATAAACATAAAACATATATTGGTGCTACCTTTGGGCAAAACAACAATATATATGCGATAAATAATCGTAATTGATGCTCAAAATAATCATATAATTGGTGATAGACATACTCAAATTAGATATACTTGCAATCTTTGGATATACTAAATATATCTAACCAAGCACATCAATTTACCACAATAATGTTCATGAATTATAAAACGAGCAATCAACCTTTGGGCGATTCGAAAATATTTTTAATAATCACGAACTTCAACTTTAAAGCATCACATAAACATTAGTAGTTGAACTTGATTCAACTTGATATCTATAAACCTTCTAATTTGGCCACTTTGGTGACTAACAAATTAATCATAACATAGATATCAAAATTAAGGACTTGATATATTCATGATAATAATTTAACATAAATAAGCCTAATGCCAAAGCAATCACTCAACAGACTAAAAGAAAACTTAGAATCGCAAGCTATAATGGTCAACAGATTAAAGTCATTGAAACTTAGATATATATATTCATTCTTTGCCCCTCGTTGCTATCTATTGGCTTCATATATATAAATTACCTACTGATCAATTGCACTCACAGAAGCAATTGCACCCACAGAAGCAATTATGTGTTTTGAGAAGCTCACGGAAGCAATTGCACCCACATAAACGACAAAGCAAGAATGGCGATAATAATGGAAACTCTACAGCCGAATTAAATGGCTCTCATACGACAGAGCTTGGCGCACAGATGCAGCGGAAATAAAATACGTAAGCGAAAATCATCTATTCATGTAAACCTAAGGCTCTGATACCACATGTAAACCAAGATCATAATAGCATGGATCTTAGAATTAGATGATTTCACGAATCGATAATAGATCGGGAAAACCTACCTCGATCCATGACGAGAGCGGCGGCGGCGCTGGAGTAGTAATCACCGGAATTGAGTTTCTCCCTCTTGACCCCTTTAGGTTTTAGGTTTAGAGATTTCTGTGATGGCTAAGAAATTCTACGTAATGGGTTGAGAGAGGACCAATCCTAGGACTTCTTTATATAGACCCACCATCAGGGCATATTAGGAATTTACCTTTCATTAACCTAATCAATATAGGATTTACCTTATATTAAATCATTAAGTGATAATTACACTTGGGCCACAATTATTCCCTAGTTACCTGCGGGAATTGGGCTTACAGACCTAGGTTAGTGAACGAGGCTCTAATACCGTACCAAACTTTATGAGAAGTGAAACCCTAATGCTTGAGCCTTTCACATTGATCCATTATGTTCTTATATACAACTGATTACAGAAACAGACAAGAAAACTACTTCCGGCCGGCAACAACACTTGTTTGTTTGCTTGGAAAGGAAACAAGAACAATTAGGGGTGGCCGTTCGGTTATCAGTTATCGATTAACTGGCCGGTTAAACCGATAACCGGTCGGTTATCGACTAACCGGTAACCGAAGTAATCGAACTTCGGTCAGTTATCGGAGGTTGGACAAAATGGTTTTGGGTTTTAAAAGTGGTTCGGTTAATCGATAACGAGAAACCGAAGCCTATTTCGGTCGGTTTTCGGTAGAGAAAGTGGTTATTTCTGTTAACCAATAACCGGCCGATCGGTTACCGGTTATAACCGAAATAACCGAACTGCCACCCCTAAGAACAATCTTGGTGGGAATAGAAACCGATTGTTGCAAATAGTAAAAAGGCAGTGCTTTAGTTGGTGTTTTGGCAAAATGCAGCATTTCATCAAGTTGAATTATCCATGTCGTCTTCTTCCAAATGGTGCTCAAGGCTAGTGATTTTGGCAAAACAAAATATGACAATATGAGATATTATGCTGCTAAAAATTCCTTATTCAAGTTTCTCGAATGACAATCTACAATTCCCACAAGCTTATGGATCACGATTATTATTTTATTCTGTTATAAATCAACTAATTTTTTGTGGTCGCTTCTGATGATGTAAAATAAGAAGGCCTGAAATATACTAGTTTCTTTACATGGAAAACGTTCTCGTAAACAACTGCTTTGTATTGCACTGGTGCCAGGTCCAAATGAGGTGGCGACGCCGTCAATACGAGCTCGTAGCTCTTGCCGCCGGCCACTACTTGCACTATGCCTCTCCTCACCGTTATGAGTTCCAGCGAACGACCAATTTGCCAACTATAAGTTTTCACTGCAAACTCAGCAATCTCCAGGACATGCTCATCGTTCACATTTTTTATTGGCCGCCACCCACCAGTCGCTGTGGCATCAGACAGGAAGAATGAAAGTGTAGCTATGGTGATAAGAAAAGAAATTGCCTTCATTGTCTTCACAAGTGATTCTTAATATTTTAAAATATATTTTTTGCTGCAGTTGTTGTAAACTTATGTGAGGCGAGACGAATTGTGGTTTCATTTATATGCTACGGCGGTACATAATTGTAACGATAGTGTATCGCGGGAGGAAAATTTAGAAGGCTAACTTCGAAAGAATTATATAAATTAGGTAAATAGTTATCTATTCTTTAGCCTATTAAATCTCATTTTCTATGAATATCAAATCTCTCCTTTCCTTTCGATTGTTTGTTGTATTCTAATTAAAAGTATTGAATGTTAGTTATTCGATTTTTCAATTATAGATTTAGTTAGGATAGAATAAAATCTAAGAACTTTTAAAATTTGCATTTTTAGAATTTAATTGTGAGTTCGGAAAGCTTTATTGATTATGTGATAATTAATATTTATTATTAAAGCTCATAATACTTTTTTGAAATTGAGGCGATATCAGGTGCTAAATGGAGGTGACTTTTGGTACTTTACTGGATCTAATTCAGACTTTAAAAATTTTACACAGAAAAATAAGTTTTACTATATTACACAAGATAATCTGTACTATAATATAATATAATTTTTTTAGCAAATTAGATCACACTCGTACGCCTTTACAAATTTTATACACTTGTATGATGCGTACAAAAATTTTATATACCAATTTTCTTGTACAACTTGTACAAAAAATTACGCAAATAATGTACTGAATTTATTTTTCTAATACATGTATATAAAAATATGTAATCATTGTAAAAAAAAGTGTATTATCCGACAAGAAATTTAGTACATCCTTGTTGTACTGGAAATTTGTACTCGTTGTACAAGTAAATTTGCACACTTTTCATATAAACTTTTTACATCATTATGGCACAAAATATGTATCACTCTATAAGGACATGAGCGCTTTTTGCATAAAACAATCATGTACTAATTTTACAGAAAGTCGTGTATACATGGCACAAAATATGTATCACTCTATAAGGGCATGATCGTGATGTTGGAGGCTCCAATCGTGAACTTCATGAAGGAGCCAACCCGGGAGAAGAAGAGATATTTGCGAGTCAAATAATAGTCCTCGCCTTCCCATCTCGCGAGAAAAATTGAGGTCTCGACTCACACATCGCGACCGTGAAATCAGTCCCGCTCCCCTTAGATGAAGAGCAAAAAGGCAGCGCTTGAAGATCGTGGCCTCGCCCCATAAGTTCACAGCCACAAACTTTGACCCTACAACTGTGAACCTTGCAATCATCACGGTCGTGACGTGCAACCGTGAACTTTGCACTTTCAGGCTATATAAAGGAGCATAAATCATAATTCAAAGGGAGTCGTCTAGAGTGAGAAAGTGGATATGCTGGATAGAGAGAGAAACAACGAAAGGAGATCCCTAGTTTGGGAATTGGAGTTTCAAATCGCCATTAAAATTCAAATCCATCACCTAGGGTTGAAGATCAAGCTGGAAGAAGAAGAACCCAACCTTCTATGATGGTTTCTTCTCTTGATTTGATGTATCTCTCTCTCTCTCTCTCTCTCTCTCTCTGTCTCTCTCATCATGAGCTAAACTTTTTATCAGGTGGTTTTTGTGGGATTCTAGTTGTATGTGTTAGATTAGATGAATGATTTTCGTGTTTGATTGAATCTTGATTATACATGGATTGAGGTATTTCATGAATAGTGTTGGGTGTTGATCAAATCCTCTCAATTGTGACTATTAACCTAGGGTAGATAATATCTAATCAGGTTAATTAGAACACTTACCTCGTTCTTCATTGATTGTTTGAGGGACCGAGCATGAAATCGAGCATCAATGTCGCATTGGATCATATTCCAGTAGAGGGAATCTAAGGTGCACCGCCTAGACGTTCTATTTTGTTGGTTGTGAAAACACTCCCTTTGGATAGTTCGTTCTAGGTGATATTCAGTAACTCAAAAGGGAGCTTAACTGGGAATAGGATTGTCTTCGTTTTTAATCATGATTTGAAAAACTTGGAACATCATTCGTCAGTCTATTTTGCAACTATATGGATACAACACCCCAGTTGCTTTCTCACTATAGTTTTCAACCAAACTTTCATGTGCTTTGTGTAGTAGTTCATTAGTTAATTCAAACATTGATTTACTAGACAACAAGTTAGTCCACAAAGTAATGTTACATTTGCTGCATTAAAATTCACTTCCACAATATTTCACCGATTGTGGTTGCACTTGGCCACGCTTGGTATGTTAGTCACAGTCGGAACAAGTTAAGTTTTTGGCACCGTTGCTCGGGAACACGACAAGTTATTAAGAAAAGTGGGCTACTTGTTACTCAGTTTTGTTTGTTTGCGTTTGTTTGTTTGTGAGTTGTGTTATAGGTGTATGACCGACCCGAAGCAACTCGAGAGGTTTGCACTTGATCGACCACAACATCAACAAGACCGTGTGGCTTCTTATAAAGGAAAGAGAAGTAGGAGAGGCTCGCGAGAGGCTATTCACTCACAACCTCCCGAATCAAGAAGAATCAGCTGAAGTTCAAGTGGAAGCCATGGCGGCAGAGAATCAAGTGAACAACAATGGCAACAATGAGGAGGAACCAACGAGAACAATGAGGTACTAATTCATCCCAAGACTCGAGGACATCTAACCAAGCATCTGAAATCCTCCCATTGCCGCCAACAACTTCAAGATCAAGACGAGCCTTATCTTTATGACCTAGAGCAACATCCATGGGTCGTTGGCATGAGTCATTTGACTAAATTTAGACATTTGAGAAATGTAGACATTGAGAATATAGACATTTGCAAATGTATTGTTTGTTTACAAGTTTTAAGATCAATCATTCTTGAATGAGTCATTTGTATGATATTACCATTTTTTTCCTTACATTAACTAATGTTTCAGTATCTTCTTTCTTATCCTAATCAATGATGTGAAAACCGGGCCAGACCGGTCGGTTAGCCCGGAAAAAACCGGACCCGGACATTGATCCGGTCCCGGAAGCATAAAAATGGCAGAAAACTAGCGGTTTGCGTTTAGTTCATTTTTTTGTTTACTTTTTCAATGGAAAAGAAAGACCGCCGCCTAGTTAATGCTTCCTTCAATTAAAAAGTTAAAAAAAGTAACTAAATCAATGGGAAAAAGAAATCATCACATTATATTTCTCCTGCCTAGCTGCCACCTATGTTTCCAATTTTAATTTTGAGATATTATCATAAACTGAGAAAAAAATAGACAATAATCAATTTTGACTTTGCATTACTAGCTCCACCAAGTAGGTTAGTTCCGGTTTATGTCCGGTTTTTAATACTGGTTAATCAACGGTTATCCGATAACTCTTAAACCTCTCGTATATCCGGATCGATGTCCGGTTCGGTTTTGACAACACCGATCCTAATAAAACCAATCGGGTAACCATAAACATTTTCAACCAAAAAACATATTATTACAAGCCATATATAATACTACATTTATAATTTTAAATAATAACAGAATAATGATTTTTTATAAAATATAACGGCTTCAGAAGTCTCAAATTCGGGCTATTTACAAATAGTCATGGTGAATGCTATGCAAATGGTGATGTTTGTGAAAGGAAACAAATGTGTTGCTAAGTAGATGATCGATGAGAGAAAGGTTTCGATCTAGTTTGGTAACGTTGTTTGCTAACAAATGAAGAAGAAAGCTATAGTGACACAACTAGATTAAGTGAAGAAATCTTGATGGAGACGAGATGAATGACACTCTTCGTCACTGATCGTGCTCCGGTGCTCGATCGAGCTTTAAATTTATAAAGTCGAAACACACTCTCCAATCAATCCTAACTAAGCCAAGTATAACATATCTAGGGTTGTAGTAAAGTGGCTCGATCGTATTCCAAGGGATCCTTAAGTGTATTATACTTCGCTTCGAACTACTATCTAATCGGGGTGGAAGTTTGGTGAGGGGTTTTAGCTAAATTAACCTACTCCTAAGGCAAAACAAACAACCAACCAAGTGGTTGGGAGGACGCTAGAGAGAGATGGTTGCCTAGGGTCGAATCCTCCTAGCTAAGGTTGTAAAGTAGGGTTAATCGAATGTGGTGAGTGAGCTCTTTTCCATGGCTTTTGTGGTTATCCACACGCCTCCGAGTAAGCCTCCCCTAAACCCATGTTCCAGTCAAGATCTAGGCTATCATATCTGGGGCATTTAGCTTATGGCTCATTTCAATGGACACTATCCACCATCCATACCGAGGTTTCATCTAGGAAGGCTACCTATAGCAGGGGTTTGGTCGCCTCGACCACTATAGGCCCCCATTCACACATCTAATCTAAACTCGCCAGATGACACATACCCGTCTAACCCTATAACTCCATACCCAGCGTGGTAGCATAAAGTAGGCTAAGAGGGAAGATTAGTGTGACTTACCCAAGCATCGTCATTAGGAAGGAGTGGCATTAAAATAAACTAGACAAACACATTCATTCATTCAAAATCCAAACATTCACAACCTATAATTATGGTTCATCTACCCTAAACACCCACTAGAGATTCAAGTCATTAGAGAGAAGAAGAAAATACAAACTAGAACAGGGGAATGATGGAATCAAGCTTCTTCTCCTTGCTCCTTGGGTTTCATGGATCTTCAATGAACCTCTCCCAAGGTGTTTCTCTCTAAAGCACTCCAAAATCCTAATTTTGTCACCCCAAGACGGCTCTCCTTTTTCACTCCAGCAGCTCTTCTATTTATAGGGGCTGGAAATCTCGGGCAAGTTCGCGTTCTGAAGAAGGGAAATCGCGACCGCGAACCACCGCGTCGTGGGCGTTATCTTTTTCCTTGGAAAAAAACTACGCTGCTCACGAAGAGAGTGGGGAAACTCTCTATTCTCCCAACGACGTCCATTTCCAGAGTTTGCGGTCAGCGTGCTCGACTTCGCAGCCGCGGTCTTCTGGCCTTGGCCTGCGATCTGCTGGCAGGTTCGCGATCTATCTTCAGGTCGGGAACTTGGGTCCTTCGGCTGCGATCTTTGCCCTGTTTGGTCCTTCTGCTTGGTTCTACTGCTACACATTCTTGTCCATCCCAAAACAACATCATAAACGAAAAGTAACGAAATGGGCATGTAAATGACATTTTGTAAAACAATTGGAGATCATTTTAACACAATTTCACCTAATAAGGGCAAGGTAAATAACACCATTTTGGTGTTATAAGTCGCTTGTGAAATTTGGGAGAAAAAAATTACGGGTGGCGACAAGGTAGTGATTAGGGAAACAATTAAACAAATGATAAAAACAGAAGGATAGAAGTGTGAGTATGAAAAAGTGGCAATGATATAATTGAAATTTTTTGGCTAAATAATTAGTCATTTGGAAATGACTAAATAGAGTCATTTGAGACTTTTGTCTGAACGAAATGACTCATGCATTCCCCCCCCCCCCCCCCCCACCACCACCACCAAATGACTCGAGCAAACGACCCCCTATCCCAAGGACTCAACCATGGGGCTCTAAGAGACCACATCAATCGGTTCTTGGAATTCACAGATGGGATTAAGATGAACAGGGTATCTCAAGAGGCGCTTCGCCTAAGATTGTTTCCATATTCATTGAGTGGAAGAGCAAGACTATGGCTTAACAACCAAGCTCCTTTGTCCATAACTTCTTGGGATGATCTCATGGGGAAGTTCATGGCTAGATACTTCCCACCATCAAACACTTTGCTTAGCAAGATGATAAGACTCTCCGAGACGCTTGGGAAAGATATAGTAGGAACGAGTCAATATCTCAAGGAATCAATGCAAATGTGAGAGGATAGCTTGAACATGATCATACTATCAATGAGCAATGTTGGGATGCATGCGATCATGACCACATAGATGAGTTGGAGGCAAATCGAGCTTGGAGAGCATATATAGATGTATAACAAAGGGCTCTAGCGGAGGAGCAGAGGCGTAGCTTTGAAGAATTACAAATGCGAAAAGATTGGATGCAAGACACCAATCAGAAGTTCGACAACTTCTTTTCTAGCAAGATTCAAGAGATTAAATGACGATTAGAGAGGGGAATGGACCACCAACACCAAGACAAAATTTCTTACTAGGGTGGGAGATTTGGATTCAGGTTTTTGGTGCTCATGATGAAGAAGATGGAAAGTAGGAAGAAGAAGTTGACGGGGCAAGGAGAAATATTTCTTGGGGTTTTCTTGAATTTAATATTTTTTCAATTAATATACATTTTTAGCCACCTAGTGAGTTAAGAAAAAAGTCACGTCATCCTTTGTCAAGAGTCTAGTCAACAACCTTATTTTTTTTTAGGGAAACCTATATTAATTTATTGACCAAGTAGAATCAGAGTTTCGAAACAAGTCCTTTAAAAGAAGAGGTACAATGAAAATAAGTGGGTTTTCAATCCAAATCTCTTCCTCATCCCAATGGCATTCAACCTGGGCCATAGCATGGGCCACTTGATTCTTTTCTCGGCCCGTAAATTTTCAAATTACTTTCACCAACTCTTGGCCCTGGGCCCGTAACGCCGCACAAAGGCAGCCCAGCTCCGTTCGTACCTCTTCTTCCCTTCGTATCATCTGAATCACCCCCAAACAATCTGACTCCATTTCCACTTCCAACCAACCGAATCTCCTTGCCAATTCCAATTCATACTCAATCGCCTTCGCATCCACGAACGTTTCACCCCTGCAAGCAGGCATCACCCTTCTCCATCGCGAACCACTACACCCCAGCCTGTTCCTCGACCATCAAAATATGTCGCGTCGACATTTATCTTCACTGGCGTCAGATGCGGTAGTCGCCATCTTCGATCCGTTTCCCCAACCAGAATCTGAGGGCGAATTTGCTTCTCCAGGTAATTGTTTAACCATTCCGCTGCTGTGGGCATGATTTCCCACTCCTCTAACTTCTTCTTGTTCCAAAGTTGGCAGTTTCGCTGATCCTAGATGAACCACAACGCAACAAGGAAAACTCCTAATGTCTCCTCCGATTCCACTTCCTGGAGTTCGCAGAACCATTCTTTTGAGGTAATATTCTCTCCTTTCTCGAACAAGCTCCTCAATTGACTGCTTCGCCACACCCTTCTAGCCCAGCTACACTCCCTAAGCACATGTTCTTGGGTTTCTCTTAGATCACAGAATGTGCATCCTTCACTGCGTTGTTGGGCTCTATCCAAAACCTTTGCACTTGTAGGTAGAATATTTCTTAGCCAGCGCCACCCAAAAACCTTGACTTTAGGTGAGAATTTTAATCCCCACACCTTTTTCAAATTCACAGGCGAGTAGATTTACCCCTCTTTTGCTTCAAATCTGGTTTCCCACAAGCGATATGCCGATTTAACTATATATTCACCCGATTTTTCCTTTCTCCAAATTCGCTTATCTTCAATACCTTGTCGTGGGATTGGTATTCGTTGTATGTTGATTCGATCAGTAGGGTTGAAATGTTGTTGTAGAAGATCACTCCTCCATGTGCCTTCTTCCTGGTTGATTAATTCTACAACTGAATTAGAAGCTCCCAGCACTGTGCTTGGAGAAGTAACCTTCAGATTTTCACTCGAGGGAACCCACTTATCCAACCATATGCCGATCCTATTCCTATTCCCAACCCTCCATCTCATTCCTCGACTAACCAGATCCTTAGCCGCCATCAACCCCCTCCAAACCCAAGTAGGGTTTCGTCCCACCTCAGCCTCCAATGGTTCTCTATTTTGGAAGTATTTGGCTTAAAACACTCTTACTACCAGAGTATGTGGGTTCTGAGCAATTCTCCAGAGCTGTTTGCCCAGAAGGGCTAGATTAAAACTATGCAGGTTCCTGAATCCCAGACCTCCAACCCTTTTAGGTTTACACAATTCTTTCCAGCTTAGCCAGTGAGTCTTGGACTACTCTTGCTGCTGTCCCCACCAAAAGGTTGAGATAGCACGCTTTATCTCCTCAAAATGTTTGCCGGTATCAAGAAAACTGACATTACATATGTTAGTTGAGCTTGTACCACTGATTTTATAAGTACTTCCTTCCCTCCAATCGATAACAGCTTTCCTTTCCACATTTTCACCTTCGAGCGTACCCTGTCGACCAAATGTCCAAATACCTGTTTTTTCGAACGTCCAATTATTGTTGGCAAACCCATGTACTTTTCATGATGATCCACACACCTCATATTAAGAACTCCTGCCAGCTTTCTTCTCTTATCCTGCTTTATGTTAGGGCTTAAAGAGAGTTCCGATTTGTGTAAATTGACCTGCTGCCCCGACTCTGCTTCATAAAGAGTGAGGATGTCTCTAATCCTCTCACACTCTGCTCTGTTTGCTCTAGCAAATAGAATACTGTCATTTGCAAACAATATGTGTGAAATTCGCGGAGCATTGTGCTTCACTCTTATCCCTTCAATCTTCTTTTCTCGTTCTGCTTTAGAAATTAGTGTTGAAAGCCCCTTGCCTTAAACCCCTACTGGGGTAAAAAAAAAACTTCAGTTTGATGCCCATTGACTAGTGTCGAGAAAGACACTGTGGTGACACAGGTCATTATCATTTGTACCCATCTTGCTTCGAATCCTAGCAATCTGCCACCTCCTGCTGTCCTTTACATATTCTGCCATCTTCATGTCTGAGCCTCCTTATCATATTCTGTGCTTTTCTCTCTAATGTTTGTCAATGGAAGTATTTGGTATTTTTGTCACCATGTTAGTCAACAACCTTATTTGAACAATTTTATAGACGCGTAACTCTGAGTGTAGTAGGCAAGTGTAACCTTTCCGTCAAATTTAACGGAACTTTTTAATAAAATTGCTATATTTGTCAATATCAAAAAATTTGGCTATGATTATCCAAAGGGTGAAAGATTTGGCTCTAGAATTGTATTTTGCCTTGATTTTGTAACATTTCTTTCGCAGAAACTCACCCCTCGGTTTCAATCTGGAAAATTTCTCCCCAGGGTAAAATAGAGCAATGGGTTGCGTCGCCTAATCTCGCCGGCCAGTCAGGGATCCTTGGGTAAAACGAATCAACGGGTGCGGAAGTACCGGCGGAAATAACTCGAAAGCGCAAGGAAATGGATCAACAGCAGCAACAGCAATTGCTCTTGCAGCAACAGCAACAGCAGCAACAACAATTTCTGTTGTTGCAGCAATTGCAGAAGCAAGCTCAACATCAGCATCAACAGCAGCAACAGCAACATCAACAGCAACAAGCGTCTGCGATCTCCCGATTTCCGTCCAACATCGACGTCCATCTCCGCCCCTCGGGCCTCCATCGCCAGCTCAATTTCCAGCACCCCAATCCAAACCCTAACCCTAATTCCAATTTGCAACAGCAGCAGCAGCAGCAGCAGCAATCGCAGGGCTCTAATTTGGGCCAAAATATGCAGCAATCCTCTCATCAACAGCAGCAATCGCCTGGGCAACAGCAGCAACAGAAAGCGATCCGGCCGCCTGTCAACCAGGTGGAGCTGCAAATGGCGTATCAGGACGCATGGCGGGTCTGCCACCCGGACTTCAAGCGCCCATTTGCCTCCCTTGAAGATGCCTGCGAGAGGTTTGTCCTCATCCTCTTCGGTAGATACGAAAATTTGTCAACTTGGGGCTCCTTCTTGAACTTTTCGTGCGATGTTTGCTTGCTATTGCTGATTTATCTCCTGATGCGTTTAATTATGGCAGAAAAAGAAAAAGTTGTCGTGACTACACGTGGGTATTTGCGAAATAGAGTATCTATAAGATGACTTTGAACTTGGCTCGCTTTCATGCCAATTTCAGTTTATCAATAAGTAATAACGGCACTGTGGGTTGTGGCATTATCCATAATAAGATGTGCTCACTGGTAATCAGTTTTGTGATGCAAGTTCTCCATATGCGTCAGAGCACTCTGACGTCTCAAGATGGAAAATCTTTGATGAATGGTCTTGCCGCATGACTAAGTGATGATTATGAACCCTTTTGATTTTGGCTTACCTTTCCATCTAATCTAAACACTGATGGTTTAAAGAAATTCTGTAGTTCAGCTTTCTCTAACTGGTGCAAACGAATAGGCGTCAGTGTGCCTCCAGGCATGTCGGCATGCTAAGTTGCTTTTGATGCAGGTCTTTTACCTGCTATCTTTGTGTTCCAACCTTCACACTCTCTTCCCTCTTGGTGGGGGTGAAAATTGGGGATGGGAAGGAAAATTTAGAGGGTGTGAAATTTTGAGGGTAGTGAAATAATGGGGGAAACTGGTGTTCAATTTTGAAAGGGAAAAGAAACCCAATAAGAGCAAATTTTGTCTTCACTCCAAATTGGGGGCAATTGTTATAATATATTTTCCTCTCAAATAAGCACTCCCTGTAGCAAAACTTATGAACAGGAGAAAGTTCTTAATTCCTTTAATTTCCCCCAATTTTTACCCTATCCTCTATTTTCCCGCCTTCACGGAACTTACAAATTGTAGAGGAGAATGTGGAGACACAGAAATCTGACAAAATTGTCAGCTTGTCATTGGGATTCATTATCTGCCACCGTGCCCAACATTCTTTGTAGGATTTCGAGGCTTATCTTCTTTCTTTCAGGAGATGTATATTTGGGGAAGTGGTTATCGAGTCTCTTATTTGTTTGATCTATGCTTATCAGATTCTGTGGTTCAGTTGGTACTTGGAGACAAAATTTCAGTAAACCTACATTATGATGTTGGCCTGGGAGTTCTCACCACTTGTCAGTTTGATAGCCGTGCTTAGACTATTGAGTTGGCTTGGGATGTGATCATTAGTCTAACGTGCATGTGGATATTCAGTTATTCACGTATTGGCTTTTGATTCCCCTCCTGAAGGATGCAAATTTCTTGCATTCTGATGTTGAGCTTCGAGGTATTCCACTTGTCAGTTAGGTAACAGAGTGTAGAAATCGTAGTTCCCCTGGGATGTGATCATTACTCTTTACATTGCATCTGGTAGCCTCAGATTGGTTTTTTATTCCCCTCATGCACTGACCTTTGAGCAGTTTCCTAACTTTGTAAGAAAGGGATCTGTCGATCTAAAAGCCAATGGCCTTAGCTCCATTGCGACACATGGTTGGAGAATTAGCTTTGTGTAGATTTCCCATTGAAATGTAAAGTCTATTGGCATGAAGGAGTATGCTGTTATGCAGCGAACTTAATTGTAGAAAACAAGGTGGAAAGTGTTCGTCGGTAAAATGGCAGCAACATTTGAGGTCTTATATTGAAGTGTCTATGATACGTTCACTGGTCTTGTACTACGTGTCTTAAATGTTGCAAAAGAAGAGTCCCGAGCCATTAGAGTGGTCTAGAAACAGAGCTAATTTTTAGGTTCAGCATGATATGCAGCTGAACCCAACTACATCATGAGCTGATAAAGTGGCTCTGAGAACTTGATCTCTGACTATCTAGTTCCGTGGAATGTTTGGATATACTATAATACCTGTGATTCTGGTAAACATTACAGTCATGTAGTCGTTTTGAGTCTCCCATATTGTCTTTGCAGTTTCCAAAATAATTCACCCATTTTGAGACAACATTGCAGGTTGCTACCGTACCATGTTGTAGCGGACTATGAAGCAGAGGAGGATGACAGAATCCTTGATTCCGACTCTACCGGCTCAATGCCATCTCGATCTCAGCAGTGGGACTACAACATTGCTGCAAAAGTTGCAGAATTCACCGGCACATTCGAGAAGCAGGCACTAGCTTTCAACATAATCACCCGGAAGCGAGCCATGGGTGAGTTCCGTTCAGAAGAGAGGCTGATGATCGAACAGGCTCTCCTCCAAGAAGAAAAAAGAATGCTGCTGGAGACCAAAGCGGAACTGGAAGCTAGGGAGAAGGCCCACCGGGAAGCCCAGCTGCGGATGGCTGCAGCAGCTATGGCCCAGGCAGAGCAGGCGCGTGCTGAGTCGCATGCTCATGCAGAAATGATGGCTCGAGGCCCTATAAGGGCGAATGCGCTTGCAGGCTCGCAGGGCTCGATCGGTCACGACATGGGAGAGCAGGAACACAATGTGAACCCTGACGAGATGATGAATGGGTGGGGAAACAACATGCAGCGAGATGACAAGGAGCCGTCGGAGGATTTCTTGAATGACGATGAAGAGAATGACAATGGGGATACAGCGGCCCAAGGAGGCGAGTGGCGTGAAGCTCGGGAATTCGATCTCAATTCAAGATGAACGGGAAGGTCTCCCGCATATGTTTGCTGCTTCGATAGATTTTTCATGTAATCTAATGTCGTAAGCTTCCTCAGTCTGTAGAACCTATTTTCATCACCTAGAGCACTGGTTGTCGAGACTTGGTTGAATCAAAGTTTACTAAGGGACAGGGATTTGTACTCTGCTTTTGGTGCTTTCTTGTTGAGAATTCACAGCTTCTATAAAGTAGGTAATATAAGGTAGAAGGGGACGTTTACTGTTAGAACTAATCCATATATGCTTCTATGTTCTAAGTCTTTAACAATTCTGCTGATAATACAGTCGATGAGCTTGTTTTATTCTCCCCTGTATTTAATAACGAAATATGCAAACAAATAGTGGCTAGGGTCAGGTCGGCATTTGGAGATTCGTATGTGTTTGTTCTGTACATCATCGTTCCATATTCCCTGCCTATTGGTGAGGTTTCGGTTAACCGCAACTTGTGAGATAATATGAACAAACCTTAAAGGTATTGTATGTAGTTTGTGGTTAGTCATGGACCTCAAAGTCCAATTAGTAGTTAGTTGCGATCAACCATATAAAAAAAAACGTACAAATTAGAAATAACTCACGTCGTTAGATTATTTTTTATTTTTTTTTCAAGCATTGCGGAAAAATCTCATTATTCCAATCATTTTCTTCTTTCCACGAATTCACCGTCTTCCCATTTTCAAATCACAAATCTAAGTCGTCCATTATTAGAATTCAAGCTTCCGTTCTCTTGTCGACGCATCGCCCCTTCCACTATGATGATTGATGACCTAAATAATCCTCTCCGTTTCTCTGTCGTTGTTTCTTCTTCCATCCCTTTCTTGGCTCTTCTAAACCAAGCCAGAAACCGGAATCCTTCCTTTCTTATCACAAGTGAAATACAACATAGTGAGCCCAAACACCGATCCGGCCCAGGCCCACAATTTATTGAGAACTTGAGATGCAAACAGGCGCATTCAAATTTTGAAATCCCACAAAGAAAGAGAATTCTAGAGAGAGAGAGAGAGAGAAGGAAAATCAGAACAGAGAGTCATTACAACCGGCGGCAGTGGCAAGGATGATGAAGTCGTACTACAAGCAGAAGAAACCCAACCGGAGCGACGCCGTCGGCAAACCCTCAAAGTCAATCAAGAAGAAATCCCCGGCCGCCTTGATCACTTCTCCCCACGGCGCTCCCCATCTCCAAGGTCTCTATCTCTCTCCCTCTCTCTCTCTCTCAATCTCGTCGCGTTACAATTTTCCCGATTCAGATTTTCTATTTCCTTTTTTTGTTTGCAGAGGATGTGGAGAAATCCGAGCAGGTGCTGAGGGAATTTGACATGAACATGGCCTACGGACCTTGCATCGGAATGACGAGAATGGCCCGCTGGCAGCGAGCTCAACGCCTGGGCCTCGATCCTCCCGGCGACGTCAAGAATCTCCTGGACTCGGGCAAAACCGAGACGAAGAGCCTCTGGGACGATCGTGTCTAGAAAGAAACCCTAACTTGTCCGTCCTTTCCTTTTTGTGCTTCTTAATTCAAGTCTTGTTTCTGTGTATCATTTTTCTGTTACAGAATCAACGCAGTCTCTGGCTGCTCGCTCCAACTCTGTAATCTTCTGCTTAATTTGAAGTATCGAAAAACTCCGATTTGTGCTGAAAGTTCTTTGCTTTGAACATGCTAAGCCTTATTTACATAACTCTATAGAGATGTCTGCTATGTGCATAAGGATAATGTTGCATCGTGGGAAATAGTTAATGTCGAAAATGGCTCTACAAAAGAAGCAAACTTTTGGAAATCCACCATTGCAGTGTTAGTAACACTCGATGACATCTTCATTCCTTCTTCTCTGCGAGCTTCTTACCATCTGGGATACAGGAAGCCCAGTAGACAGGTACCATTGTGCATAAGGCCTGTATCAGGAGTCCCCTGGGCAGCCTCGAGAAGTCATCTCCGGTCACACCAACGAACGATACAAGTGCGATGCCGAGATAGCCACTGATGATGAACGAGAGGGCTACAGCTGATGCCACTAATGCCATCAGGGAACCCTCGCATCCTGGAGGGCATAGCTGCGCCATCACGATGTTGAATGGGAGAAGCTTGAAGAAGTAGAGTACCTCCAGGAGACCTGAGAAGACTACAACGTAAAGTGAATCTGGAACGCCCATGTTCCGATAAACTCCCCTCACGAACAGGACATCGGAAGCCATGAGCAGTGCCATAGTTGTCTGAATCGCAGCGATCAATTTCCTTGCTGGAATGGACTTCAGGCGATGATTGTAAACCACGCTCCAGGTGAGCATCGCGGCTTGGCCAAACACCTTGGAGATTCCCAACACGGATGAGTTGATTTTGAGGTGCTGTGTTTGGTAGTAGAACATGGTACCTGTCAGTGCTGGGATGATGGCGTACGAAGCGGCTAACCAAGCGATGGGGCGAGCAATCTCGGGTTTGCGTAATGCGGCAGAGAGCTGGAGGAGCTGCTTGGTGATCCCGGAATTGGAGGCACGCTTTGGGAGGTCGAGGGATCTTTCACGGACCGAAATGGTGATGAGAAATTGGAGGGATGAAACTATAGCGAAGAAGAGGAACATAGTTTGAGGAGAGAAGTTGCTCAAGGCTATGCCGCCTAAGAGATTCCCAATGGCTCCACCAGCAGAGGATGCTATCCAAACAAATGACTGCAGCTCGCTAGATGAAGATGATGACAATGACGATGACTTTCCTGCCTCTGCTACAATAGCGTCATTTGCCACCTCTGCTAGAGAAGCTCCGAGGTTGCCGAGGAGGAGATAAAGGGATAAGGTAAGCATGGAGGTGCTTGATGGTGAGAGGAGTGCAATGCCTAGCCATGAAATTGCCTGCAAGAGAGCTGCAGAACATAGATCAGCTTACGTTACACGAGATTGAAGTAAAGTAACATCAACAACTGAACACAAAAAGCTGAACCCTCAAAGGAGAGAAATCGCAGCTCAGACAGCCAATGCAAGGATGGAACGAAGTTCCTCCCTTCCCACAGATTGCCTATGGAGAGGTGGACAGGACACGAACCACCACAGAGAACCCCTAAAGAGAAGCAGAAAAAAAACATCCAGCCAAGGAAACGGCAGCAGAAGTCTAGACAGCATGAAACCAACACCACCAAACAGCAGCACCAGCACCCTTAATACCCAGACGACTAGACGAGCGCTCCCTAAGCCAGCCGCAACCCTGATCTTTATCAACTTCCCATGCACCATAATCCTCTCAATGATAGCCCTGACGATCTTTCTAGTCACAGTCGCTGATGGGAGAAAGGAATGCTCAAAGATGTACTGGTTTCTCTCTAACCAAGCATGCCAGCAGACCGTGTGACAGTTAAAAATAAATATGTTCAAGAAGACTAGTTAAGAAAACTAAAACAACTACGCCAGTCTTCATATTCTTCAGAAAGAAGACGCTGAACACTGCAGAGTGCAGACAAACAACATCTCAGGGGAAATCAGAGCACAGTATGCGAAGTAAGCCAACTCGCCATAGCTTTCAATACAATTTCAAGTGCTTTCATCTAGTGCCTTCTTGAGATCACAGAAAATTCCAGTACACGATGAGGACACGGTATTCACATAATATACTATTGCAGTCATTTCTCCAAGTGGATTTCATCAAAGCTTAAAGACACTAATAAGTTGCAGTCTCATTGCTACTGTTCTAGAGTAAGGAGGCATTAGATCAAATGCAGAGCTTGTTTCCAGAACCATCTCTCTAGACAGAATCTTTCTTCCTCAGTTTACTACTATCGAACAAGAACCTGAATAGTTCAAGCATCTATCACCAGTAGTAAGCTTCTCAACTGACAGAAAGCGATTTCACAGGATATAAAAGGAGGCAGAGAACACTATTTCCACACAGAGCGAAAAAAACAAAGGAATTTTGTGGGAGAATCGCAGTGGGTATTTAGCCATTTCAACTGGACCACTAAATGAAAGCGAACACACAAACAACTGAAAATTCAGACGGATTCCTTTGTCTTCCCTTCTGTCTACCCAGACAAAGAACTTTCTGGAAATCTGAGGGAAGCCATCAACGAAAATCAACAGATGGGTCATTATGGCGAATTAACTAGCTAATTCGGACTATTTACAGCTGATTGCCATCAGAAAGAGAGCGATCGTGAAGGATGGAGAAAAAGGCTATGATTACTGGAAGAGCAAAAATGGATAAGGAAGGAAGGAGCTTACTGCCGATGGCGATGTAAGGGATACGGTGCTGGCCGGAGATATAGACGGCGTCGGAGATAACGCCGTAGAGAGGTTTAGCTACCATGGGGAGATTGGCGGAGTTCTGGAGGAGCTGTAGAGTGGAAGAGTCGACACTGAGACCATCTTTCAAGAAGAAATTGACAGCTAGCCATGGGAAGCACCTGAATCCTTGAACCCAGTAACCCAAACCCAGCAATTCCCTGATCGATGACGAACCCATGAAGTAACCCAATTCCCAATTATTCCCCGTACGAATATATATCCTCTTCCTCCTTAACCTATTTCCCTTTGATGATCTTTCTTCTTTTCCTGCTGGGATTTTTCTCAAGGAACAGAGCAACGGACTGCAGCCTCTCTTCTTTCGTCTGCTGCTTTTGCTACTACTTCTCCGGCGGTTTGGCAAATGGGAAAGAGAGTGGCGGAGTGAGATGGCAGGCGGCGACGGGAGCCGGTATTTTGTGGGGGAACTTGGAGGCGGGCGAGAGGGAGTGACACGTAGAGAGAGGAGAGGTTTTGTTATTACGTAGGCTGTCCTGAAAAGGGACGATGATGAGTAGTGGAGTGGTTAAGTAAAGGGGAAGTGACGACTACTGTCTACTGGGTGTGACGAGATGAGTTTGATTTTGATGATGCTCGTCGGCAGCTTCCGGAATGGAGATGCCGACATAGTTAAGTCGACACAAACCCAAATTTGGATGGATCCATCGTTCTGGATCTAATGGTGTCTGATTCTAGTGTTAAAGTAGGTTAAATGCACCGGATACCACTTAAGTATTGCTTTTGTTGCATGCCAATCATTTAACTTTTTTTAGTTGCAACTAAACCACACAAGTCGGCTTTCGGTTGCACCGTCATATTTTCCATCCATAAACTTAACGGTGGGTATCTTATTAAATTTTCCATGCCATGTGAGCATTCCAACTCAAAGCGGTTGGTGAGTCATATAAGGGCAACTAAATCTTCATATGCCTACATCTGAAAATTTCTTTTACGAGCACAAAAAGTGGTTCATCATTCAGAATCTTCCTTTCCGGTCCCTTGCTTCCTACACTAAATATGAAAAAACTGATCCCATTCTCGGTCAAATAACAAAGCACATAAAAGGGTCACATAAACAACAGTTGGAGCACAGCAAGAAAGATCATAAGAACTTTGCTCAATGGTTTCCTATAATTCAACAAAACATGTAGTTGTGTCACTGGTTCATTATTTTCATTCTCCCTCTAATCCTCGATCGCATGGTTAACTTTCTTCTTGTTATGGCTTTATCAGTGGAGCTTGATGAAGATAGTTTATTGATAGGTTGGTGGTGGAATAAACGAGCATAAGTGTATGTGCCTCAGCACTCAGGCAATGCTCTGTTTCTCCCGCAATATTTTGATTGTTTAATATTTGACTCATGCACATATATTAGCAGCTGAATTAGGTTGCTTTTTAAGCATCCATGGTTGGAAGTTGTCAGTATCCGTTAGGATTAATGATTTTGGTTGAAGCTTTTTGTTTGATCAATCATGAACATGTTTTTTTTAGCTCCCTTGAGTCGAACTTCGTGTTTGACACTTCTAATTAATTGCACCGTGTAAACTATAATAAGATTTTGTGGTTAGTATTGCTAACCGTAATTTGCGGTTAGTGGTTAACTGCAAACCGTTTGCGATGCGGTTGCGGTTGGTGATTTTTCCCTTGTGTGGTTGCGGTTAACCACAACCGCACCGTTTCCCTCCCCTACTATTTAAATTCATTAACCAGTGTCCTCTGGTGAGTGGGTGGAGGTTGTTTGTAATAGCAATATAGCATATTTCTTTTATGAGTGAAAGCCAGAAGTATCTCCAAATCATCAGGTAGTGAATGTTTTTGGTTATTATGATTACTAGTTAATTGACTTTACGATAGTTATATATTATCTTAAACTTTAAATCAACAACCTACCTGAATCCCCCAATTAGTGTTGCTTGTGAACGTTCGAATGTAAGTGGTATATGGACTGTATATAAGTTTTCAATGGCAGCAAAAGGAGGGCTGCTGGTGCAGGCGAGATTGGGTGGAAAGTGAAGATATACCTTGAGGAGAGAAGCAATATTAGATTGGAGAAGATTGCAAGAATACAAATTTTTCTTTGGAGCTACGTGAAGAGGCCTTGTGGGATTTTAATAAAGAAAAGAGGAGGAAAAGAAGGAAAATATGATAGCATGTAAGTTGTAACCAAGCAGGCTGAGTTGGAATGCTGGTGTGGACTAAAAATTGCAATTTGGTACCCACCGTTAAGTTTTTGGATGGAAAATGTGACGGTGCAACTAGAAATAAATTTGTGTGGTTTAGTTGCTACTAAGAAAATTTAGGTGGTTAGTATGCAACAAAAGTAATATTTTAAATGGTATGTGATGCAAATAACCCTAGTGTATACGTTAATTTAGAGGCAAGCATCCTACTACCCATAAAACTCTTTTTAACAGCTCATGACCCATGAGTTCCAAATTCCAGTTGCCTAATTAGTAGGGGTGTGCTACTACAATTGCATCGGATCAAACTAATGATTGGACCAGACCATATATCGAATCGAATATTAATGTGAAAAAAATTGAATCGAATTGACCACAATCAGTACCGCCAACGTACTAATCCATGATGGCAGTGGCGGGCTGTCAAACAATGACAGTTTTCCCACATCACTACCAAATTCAAGACCTTCCAGACAAGAAGCGGAATCAACAATATATTTTGATACAACACATGCAACGGGTTGAGAGCAAGGTTGCCAACCTACATGTTGACTCGATTTGACTCGAACCCGCTGTGAAAAACTAGTTCCACAAACTTGTGGGTCGATCCATATCAAGATTCCCGATTTGGTAATCACACGACATATTTTTCCCTTTGATTTGTGCAATGCGCTTATTTTTTTTGTTTGTCAAATATGAAATGTTATCTTGGTGGTAATGTCATATGTTACTCATATATTAATGCAATTTTATATAATTTACAAATGTATAAACAATATAATGACTTTTCTCATATACTAAATCGGGCTACAACAATCGAACAACCTTTACTTGAGAGAAGCATGCATCGATATACCAACATGATCAAAAGGTTATACAAAGTCCACAGGTTTCTAATTTGAACATCCCAGAATCCGATCAATGTCGGAATGAAAAAACAGAGATGCTGGCAAGTCCAACACATTCTTCACGTCCTTGCCAGAAAAAATTATGGTCGTGATCTTGTTTTACACGATGATAGGGTGTTCTACAGGAAATTCCACTTACACTGCAGGCTATGTAACATCCAACACAAAAACACAGGAAAAAATCCCAAGTTACACATCTTTTTAAAAAAAAATCTCAAAATACACACGTTATGAAAATAATTCCCAATCTACGTTAGTTTGGGCCATCACCGCTGTCGACGAAGACAGTGATTGCATCACTGTTGTCGACGAAGACAGTGATTGCATCACCGCTTTCGACGAAGACAGTGATTGCATCACCGCTGTCGACGAAGACAGTGATTGCATCACTGCAGTACACGGCCGCGGTGAAGGCCTGACCTGCGTCGAAACTTGAAACAAACGTAACTTTGTGCTCGGTTATCCGATCGTAGCAAAATTTTTTTTGATTCCGCATAATTTTTCGAGATCTTGCAAGTCGCAAATGGCCATAGGAGGTTTGGTCCCGCCTTCGTCTCGAAAATATGTCGTTTGCTACCCCGAACGAGCCTTTTTTCGATTTCGTCAAACTTTGAATGACCATAACTTTGTGCTCCACAATCCGAAAATCATGAATTTTTTTTTGATTTCGCATAAATTTTTAAGGACTAAAATATTTAGTAGGAGAGAATTTTCAAAAAATGAATTATTTATGGATATAAGGGGTTTTGGGAATAACTTTACCTTCCTTTTCAGGAATCCAAGTACATTCCGAAAATATGTCTATGATAAAAATTGTAGTCCTTAAAATGTTATGCGAAATAAAAAAAAATCATGATTTTCGGATTGTGGAGCACAAAGTTATGGTCATTCAAAGTTTGACGAAATCGAAAAAAGGCTCGTTCGGGGTAGCAAACGACATATTTTCGAGACGAAGGCGGGACCAAACCGCCTATGGCCATTTGTGGCTTGCAAGATCTCGAAAAATTATGCGGAATAAAAAAAAATTGCTACGATCGGATAACCGAGCACAAAGTTACGTTTGTTTAAAGTTTCGATGCAGGTCAGGCCTTCACCGCGGCCGTGTACTGCAGTGATGCAATCACTGTCTTCGTCGACAGCGGTGATGCAATCACTGTCTTCGTCGACAACAGTGATGCAATCACTGTCTTCGTCGACAACAGTGATGCAATCACTGTCTTCGTCGACAGCGGTGATGGCTCAAACTAACGTAGATTGGGAATTATTTTCATAACGTGTGTATTTTGAGAATTTTTTTTAAAAACATGTGTAACTTGGGATTTTTTCCCAAAAACACAACCACTCTCTAACCATACAGCTTTATTGCACATACCTGCGTTGTTCCATGGCATTACCCTCTCGCCCTATGTTCAGGGCGTGGCCACAATGAAATACTCCAAATCAGTTATTTTAAACCATAGAATGAAAAAAGGGGGAAAAGAACATCAAGCACAGCTCATTTCTTCAGCAACTGGGAACTGCACTGTGCCATGATCTTCGAAGCCCTGGTAATGGAGTTGGTCATGTAGAAATTCTCCACAGCAGCCTTAAACGGAGTGGAGCTCACCTTCCCCTTAACATCAGGTTTCAGTGATGGCCCAAACGTCGCCGGCTCTCTCTCGTCCAAACTCAAGAGGTTCGGCGCCACCATCCTGATTCGCGACCTAACACCCTCAGCTGTATCGTACGGCAAGGGGGCACCAGCAACCTCTGACAATGCACGAATGATCTTCCAGTCATCCCTCGCATCACCGACTGTGGGGACTGCTGGTAAAGTCTGCTGGGAGCATCCTTCAGTGTTCTCATACGTCCCTTCCTTCTCAGAAAATGCTGATGCAGGGAGGATGACATTAGCACGGTACACACTCTTGTCACCATGGTGGCCCTGATAAACAACAAACGCATCTTTCGGGATGTCATCCAGGTTCACGTCATCAGCACCCATCAGATAGATGAACTTAGCCGACTTGATTCCGTCGGTCGACTGTGGGACCAGCCCGAGATCGAGAGCGGCGGCTTGTGCCGCGTTGAGGAGCAAGACATTGAAGCCGTTCCAGTCTGGTCTTATAACGTTGAAGTTGGAGGCAATGGTCTCGACTGTGGCAAATACGGCTTCCTTGTCTTCCCTATCGAAGAGACCTGCACCCACAACTATGGCTGGGTTTTTGGCGTTTTTGATTGTGGAGGAGAATGGGTGTCGTCCCTCAGCAATTTCAACTAGGGTTTCTGGGCCTGTCCCGAGATGCTGACAATCGTAGTTGAACTCGCTAGGTTGGCCAATGTAGCCCACTTTGGCATTGTTTGCTCTGACAGTCTTGCGGATTCTGGCATTTACCATGGCAGCTTCCACCCTTGGCTGGCAATTTGTAAGCCCAAAATATTAGTGGAAAAATAATGGCCTATAAAGAAGAATAAAGTACCAATACACATATATATCAACCGTACTGATATATGGCACCCAAAAATCTACAACAGCAGAGCCATGAAAATAAGATAACTACATTAACTACAACAGAAAGAAGACAGATCCGTGAAATTCCTTTCAAGTCAGCAGCATTTATCATAAAACTTACTTGGAAGAACATGCATTCTAGTAGACTGCCATTCATTATTTAGGTAAGAACTCCATGACAGGCTGCTTTGGCGTAGTTGGAAAGTAGTTTTTATAATGTAAATGAAGTTTAACGGCAAGTTCAATTATATGGGAGAAGAAAGGATGCAAATTTGGCATTTGAGAGCAGTCATGCTACTGTGATATAAATTAAAGTTTGGTCGAAAGGCACGATCACAGTGTAAGATGAGATAACATGAAAATAAGAACTTCACTATTAATATATTCTGAAGATTTTACCTGTGTGCCAACCAAGAGGAAAGCATCCGCCTTTTCAAGATCACTGATACCAGTGTTCATGATGTATCCAGATCGGAGATCAGCAACTGGACTAGGGCCATTTCCTTCACATGTAACATTATTTGACCCCATTTTGTTCAAGAAATCTTTCAGCACTATCATGGATTCAGCATCAGAGAGCTGCCCAGCAATCCCAACAATTTCTTCAGGTTTAACCTGATGGAGCACCTCAGCAACCACAGCTAAGGCATCTCGCCAGCTCACAGTTTTAAAGCGACCATCAGATCCCCGGATCATTGGATCATTGAGTCTCTGCCTCTTCAAACCATCATAAGAGAACCTAGTTTTATCCGATATCCATTCTTCATTTATGTCCTGCAGCAGGCCAGTTTAACTTTGAACATAAATGCAAACAACGGGTACCCTAAGCTATTAATATAAACCACAATAAATTATATTAAGTGATTATCCAACAGGGCGGAGACCGGATTTCTGAATATATTTTTTAGTGCACCGTTCCAAATATTGTGATGGTGCCCCATCTCTTAACTACTACAAAACTAATCATCAGCAACAACTGTTGCCACTTAGTAGTTTGGATCATATCTTACCAGTTCAATTACGTTTTGTTACTTTCTTAAAGTACTAGATAATGCACTTAAAAATGACCAACTACCAAAAAACTGCATTTCATGCAGCCATAATTCCAAAGTTGGGTGCAAAAGAAGGCATTTTGGGGAAGTACAATAGTCAGCATAATGAATTTTGAAAGATAATTGACAGCTACCTCATTCAACCTCGGGAGAATGCGCATAACCTCAGGACCTCTGCTATCTATCCGGATGTTGGATCCAACAGCATCACTAACATCAATGCTCTCTGTTCCCTTTAGTTCCCAATTCCTGGCTTTAAATGCAAAAGGCTTTGAAGTAAGAGCACCAACAGGACAAATATCAATAACATTTCCAGAGAGTTCACTGGTCATTAGCTTCTCAACATAAGTCCCAATTTCTTCACCGCTGCCGCGGCCTAACATGCCAAGATCCTGAGTACCAGCAACTTCAGTTGCAAACCTGACACACCTGTTAATCCAAAAAGGTATAAGAATGATCAAGCAAATATTTAGAAGCTTGTTTTGGAGAAAACAAGAATGACGGCCAAGTTAGGAAGGTCTCGCTCCCACTACATGCAAAATACTGAGACAAGAAAATAAAAGGATGGTGGATTGTACACCAAAAACAGGATGCCCACAAACCCTAGTAAAGCAGTGTCCACAAGTTCAAATCTAGTACTAAATAGGCCATATAAAATATGTCAAAAAGATTAGTACTCGGACCTTGTACACTGAATGCATCGAGTCATAACAGTCTTGACCAGAGGGCCTAAATTCTTATCAACCACAGAACGCTTCATTTCAGTGAACCTGCCTCGATCAGATCCAAATGCCATGGACTGATCTTGCAGATCACATTCTCCACCTTGATCACAAATTGGGCAATCCAAAGGATGATTCATTAACAAGAATTCCATCACCCCTTCACGTGCCTTCTTCGCCAAAGGTGTGTCTGTTTTAATTTTCATACCTACAATAATTCAAGAACGCTGACTCATTAGACCAAACTTGATAAGATAATACATCATTCATAAGATCATCGATAATTCAATGAAACTAAGTCAACATATCACACTATATCCAAACAGATACATAAATTGGAAGAGACTATCAGTAGAAAAGAATCCATTGTCATTGACTAAACTCGAGTAGACCCAAAACGATACTGATTCAAGCGTCTACAGGCATAAAAAAAAATACAAACTTTGATTAAGATTTTAAACCCCTGGACTGTGTTTAACTAATGTTTACATCTGCCTGCATCGACAATTAGTTCAATGTTCCAGAAAGCATACTTAACCTACAATGTCCTGAAAATCTCAACAATGCAGTAAAGAAGCTAGCCGATACATAGAAGGGAAAAGAAGAACTAGGGGTCATTTGGATGAATCAATTCAGAAACAAGACAATTGGTCAATTGTCTCAATTTATACAACGAGCCACTTATATCGAGTCAATTCGAATTACCTGTTCCACCCTCAGACATTTAGAATTGCCTCATTTTATAAAAAGAGTAAATTCGAATTACCTGCCCCATCCATAGATAATTAGAATTGCCTCAGAATATATCAATTCGAAATTCCAAGACTAAATTGATTATCCAAATTTTCTGCTGGCAAACGAATCAGTTTGGTCCAATTGCCACAAAACGAGACAATTGGGTCAAAATGATCCATTACAATTCCACATCCGAACCACATAACAGATTCAATACAACAAAGAATAGGAAACCAACTGTTCAGCAGAAAGTCAAAAGCTTCACTCCCATGTTGATGAAGAAATTATCATAACGCTGTTCTAATTAGAGAAGAAATGGAACAGCATAGAGATTCCACAATCTTCACTCCGAACAATAAAACCCCCAAGTATTCTCCCATCACGATCAGCACAAAAAGAAATGAAATTCAATCGACAAATCAATCAATCAAATAGAAGATAGACACGGTCAAACTGATGAACAAAGAGGGAAGAAATGAGAGAGAAAGAAGGATTAAAAACCGGGAAGAGCAGGCATGGCACAGGAGGCGACAGGCTTCGGGGACTTCTCAACCTCAACAAGACACATTCTGCAATTCCCAGCGATCGAGAGACGGCTGTGGTAACAGAACCTGGGGATATCAACCCCAGCGACCTCACAAGCCTGCAGAACCGTCATCCCCTTGGGGATTTTCACCGGATACCCATCGACGAACACCTCGATGGCGTCCTCCGGATTGGGGAAGTGAACCCGGGCCCCGCCCACCGGGTTCCGGGGCGGGAGATCTGGGGTCGGCTCCGGCGCGGCCGCGGCGGCAGCCTCGGGGGATTGGAGCTCGGGCTTGGTGACGATGGAGCGGAGGAGGAAGAGATTCCTGGAGGTAGCGCGGGGTCTGAGAACCCGTGAAGCTAATAAACCTAACACCATTTTCCCCCCCGGACACTCTAGGGATTCGCTCTGCGGCGCCGATTAGGAATTGGCTTCGAATTCAAGATCTGCCGGAGAGTGTGATTGGCAGTGGTGGTGGCGGAGGTGCGTGCGTGTGTCCGTCAGAAGACGAGAAGTGAGGGAAATGGGGAAGAGAGCTGGAGAAGAAGCGTTGTGATTGTTTGGGTTCGGCTAATGGATGGGAATTGGCCAGCGATTAATAATCCGGTATCTGGGCAGTGTTCGGTTCGACGGGTAGAAACCGATCTGGTTTGCGTGGTTCGGGCCTTTAATGCTACGTTGGGCTGGGCTTTCGCTTTTCTTAAGCCACCCTTGCCTGTCAAACTCCACATCTTTCTTCACTCCTTTTCTGGTCGGGATCGCTTCCACATAGACTAGTTTAGCTCGCTTTTTATCAAACGCCAATTTCCATGCAAAATAACATATTTCTTGTATATTATAGTAGTACAAAATAACATATCGATAGCTGAGATTGGAAGATATGTAATCTAATAATCATCATTGCAGAAGGATAAAGGAGGGAAATTAGGAGTTTGTGAAACAACTAGGCGGATTTACGGTGGAGACCATGTAAAATGGTGGTTCCGCCACCCTGGATTGTATGTATTCCGATACAATTCCTAAATTTTGGCTTGGCAACATATTTCACATAGTCTTTGTGTGTGGTGGCTCACATCACCTGACATTCTTTGAATACATGATACTTTTCCCCCACACCACTCAGGCGGCATAAGTTGGATGGTAGGTTGATTTGCAGAAGGTGCATCCAGCCGATTGAGCTGCTTAAGGACTCCGTCTACCTTAGCTTCTAAAAAAGTGAGAGAATCAACAAGTAGTACACCACCCTATCTTGGCCCTTTTGTTCTTCTACTCACACCTCAGTCATGCCCACGAGCAGCCATATCTTCGAACAATCGATTCATTTGGAGTGGAGTCTTGTTCACCATCCCTTATGGGCATACGAATAGATGAGTTGCGTATCTTCTTGGAATAGCTCATTATATAACAGAGACACCTGATACTAGTCATCACAGTCGTGATGCGGACATTTGATTTGTGAATCGCTCATATGCATCACGAAGGGTCTCGTCCTCTTCATATGTGAAGTGGGTGATCGTCTACTGCTGCTTAGCTGTCTTGGATGGGGGAAGTAGCGGGTCATGAACTTCTCCATCATATATGTCCATGAGGTGATAGACGGTGGAGGTTGATTCGTGAGCCCCTTCTTGGCTAGTCCACCCAATGAGAATGGGAAGAATCATAGTCGAAGCGCATCCTCGGGTACATCATTCATCTTGATTCCATCCGTCAACTCTAAGAATCGTTGGATCTGCTTGTGTGGTTCCTTAAATTTCATATCGTGGAACTGGATGGAACTCTGAATCATCGAGATCACGGTGATCTTGATATCAAAGTTGTTCGAAGCAATTAACGTAAGCAAGATGCTTGACTGCATATCGAATTTTGGGGTAAGGTAGTACCACATAGTCCTTGTATCCTATGGTTGTGGCGGTTGTTCTTCGTCAGCATGACGGAGATTTCTACTGCAAAATGAGTCTTCTCCGGTTCTGGTTGAAAGAGAGCTTGTTGTATAGTTCTCTACATTTTCATATTTCAAAGGGTCTAGTTGATATTGTTGTCAACTGACACTAAGTCTTATGATTGGCTACAGGTTGCCACATACTAAAGCAAATAACAGTGAAATGCAAATGTGAAATGAAATGGGAGAAAAGTAAAGCCAGATTAATAAATGTTGTCTTCTCCTAATACACTATAACAACCTCCGACAATGGCTCCAAAAACTTGATCCTACAAACTATACTTCTATTAATGGCCAAGTCAAACCAGTGAAAGCAACTATAGTATAGTCACACAAGTAATAAAATATCAAATTGTCGAGTCCTCAAATGTACTATTACTCATACTAAATTTGTTATCCAATAGCTCATGTTGAATGTAGATAGTTTATGAAGCAAAAAGTAGATTGATCGAAGTTTATTTGGGAAAAAGTCATTCAAGTATTGAATCTTCCTAATCTCTAGTCAGATTAATGATCATTAACTCCCTAGTTCATTTCACTCATAGTTAATCTTGTGTAGAATCATTAATAAGTCATGAATATTTATTAAAGCAATCACGACCCTCTTGAATATACTACTTGGGGGGAGGGGGGGGGTATCCTCATCTAAGTCAGAATATCAAGACAATAGACTCCAGATTCCCACTATTGGATCGAAACCGAATACAAAGAAGTGAATTAATTCACTCGGTGCATTTGATTTTCTACTACCAATTGATGTTGCTCTAATAAACCTATTTAGATTATATTTATCACCAGTTAAAGCAGAAATCATAAGAACGTGATCAAGATTCAAGTTTCACTAAACATTGCATTGATCGATTATAAGCGATGAGTCAATCTCACTAGAGTTTCAAACAATCACCAATTCAAACAAATAAAACTAGGGTTCATCATACCCAAGCGAGGAGGGAGTCTACTCAACAAAGAAAGAAAGAATTACGGAATAGAAGTTGAAGAACATCATTGTAGTGATGGGATTCGGCTTCTGATCGGTAATCACTCCTAGAATTGAGTTCCGAACTTCAATGGCGAATGAATCCTCCAAATCAACTCCAAGAATGATACTAGATTGTTTTCTCTCTCCAAACCTCTCCCTCTTTAGGTTTCTCAATGTAAAACTCAGATCCCCCTCTGCAAAATCTCAAAAATCCTTTTATACCCGAGCAGAGGCAATGTCACCGCTGATAGCACGGTCTTGACATTGCCTCTCTTAGTCGTGACATTCAATGCCCATAGTTTCCCTTAAGCACTTCAAAGCATCTCATAGGCGTCAAAATTGGGAATGCCACGACTATTAGGTGGATGGTTTTGCTTGTCACATTCGAGGAATTCTCTTCCTATTTTGTGATTCTCATGACTTAGGGTCGGAAGTCATGGCTCGGATCGTGACATTTCTCCTCAACCCATGACATCTGTGTTAGCCTCCCTTTTTGACAAGTTTTGGCTTCCACGCATCATAAAACCTCATCCACGTATTATGACCTTGAATATGATACAAATACACAACCTAGCATAAAATCGTCCTACATGAGGGTGTTTCCATCCCAAATGACCAAGAAATAGCTAAGATTTAAGGATAAAATATGTATAATTATGCACATATCAATCTCCTTGTAACCTTTTTCTTGTTACGCCTCACTCATTTTCGTAGTGATGAACTTTTCTTATTGTTGGTGCACTAGAGTTGCGTACATCAATATCTTTGTACATTCATGCTCAAACTGACACTCATACTCCCATTGCCTATCATCAGCTTTCTTTTGTCTCTTATCAGTTTCTCTACCAGAGGAATACATGAAACAAAAAATGAATTTGGTGGCTAGAGATGTATGAAGGTTGAATGGTTTTCTTCAAGACCGAAGGTTGAATGGTGTTGACACAACTCATTTTCATTAAAGTTGGATAAACAATTGATGACACAACTTATTATGATTAAAGTTGGATGAACAATTGATGACACAACTCATTATAATTAAAATTGGATAAGTAGTTGATGACACAACTCATTCTAACAAACATATGATGAATCTATGGTTATATGAACCAATTGTTGTGTTTTCATCGGTGATGACATCATATTTGATGATGAAAATTTTATGCCAAATAAAAAAAACAAATGTTTGTTTTTATTAATTATTACTACCTATATAAAAATAATGAACGAATTATGTATATAGAATGATGATATCTATACCAAAATCAATATTCAAAAAGGCATTAGGTGTAAGGCGGGCGTTGAGACTTTTCCTAGCGTCTAGCTCGCCCAGGCGTAGACTAAGCATGCCTACGCATTGGAAGAAATATAACTATTCACATTGCATGATGAATGAAATAGTAATCTACAACACTTACTCACTTGAGTTAAAATGATTAATAACTTACTCAACGCTTAATGACAAGAACATAGCTAACGTATTCATAGAATCATAGAACAATAGCCCACAAAGTTCTTGAGCTATTGAAAATATTGGTATAGAAAATTGATTTCGTAGTTTACGTTAATTTTTTCTTTTAATATTGACTTCCTATCTCCATCTAGTTATTTTTAGGAGAGACTTATAATTCACCTTACTCAATTGACGTGTTCCGGTATCTAACTAGGCGCGAAACTCCTGGACAAAACGTTTTGTAGTTGCGTTGCGCCTAGGCGTGGCCTATCTTTTTGAACCATCACTAAAATAGATTAAGACAAAAAGTTAAAGTTGAGAAATTGGCACTTCAACTATGCCCATTGGAGCCAAAAACATATTTGGGTAGAGCGAAATTGCCAAATCTAAACTAAAAATTTAACAGATTGACACTCATTTGGAGATCGTCTAACACTTTTGCATGATGACGTTGGTTAATACCACCCCCAGATTATAATATGATTATAGATAGTCTTTCCTGACCAAAACTACAGAGCGATTAGATTTTCTCTATCATTCTGAGCTTCTCTCTGATCTTTCATAAATTTGGTTATCCTTGTGGAGTTGAATTGAATCCAACGATTTTTATTGATGGTATAAATAATGAGCTCTGGTTTCACAAGTGTTCTTGTGCAGAAAAAGTTGGTGGAAAGCCAACCTTTGAAACTTCTGACACTTGATGCAAAAGTAATTTACATTGCTTATGCTTAGTAGTATACTAGCGTGGAAGTCCAAGAAGCACCCAATCCCAAAGAAGGCTTCATGGTTATCAGCCGGATTAAGCTGCAATCTTTTCCTTGCTCACTTGCAGGCACTTCGACATCTCTTCCTTCAGTGATTTTCCCTCTGGATTAAGATCATGGGGTAGATTGAACTCAGCTTCCGCAAGTCATTTCCCCTCCTTCCTCAATGTCTACTGAGATTGAAAGTTCGGCGTGCCTTTTACGAGACTTGCTTAAACAGATCCCTCAGGGAGCTGAAAGGTGACCTGTACCCATAAACCACAGCATCTCTCCAGAACGTCATTCCTGTTGAGAGAAAGGAACACATTAAGCTCACTGATGCTCAACGGATTGAAGCTGCCCCCAGAAATCGATAATAAAAAAATGATTCGGAGGAATGGGATCGAGAGGCATTGAATACCTATCCACAAAACTAAACCAACCGTTGTTGCCACGAAGAATCCTTTGCTCACTGTATTGCAACTGCAATCAATAACGGCAAAGCTTTTAGTTCGTACTGAATTGCTATCGTTGTTGACATTGTTGAGGCATGGAATTTCACACGCAAGATTTGGAACGAGAAACTCACCAGTACATGCATAATACATTGCCATAGCCATAGAACAGTGAAGCCCATGCGCAACCTGTGAACCTGCATCAGAGATTGGAGTAATGTGAAGACATAAGTTGAGCAAGAAAAATTATGTAAAGCCTTGGAGTCATGTAAAACTAAGCAGCTGAAAGAAAACAGTAAATCTTATGGCGCGAAACGAAGCAGCTGAAAAAAAAGAGAAAGAGAGGGTGCAATGAGATATTGAGCAGTACCACATAAAGTCGCGAACAAGGAGTGCACGTGGAATCATAAGTCCATTTCCAATCATAGCAAGCAGCATGGAGGAAGCTGATAAGCCTTTGATGTTTTCAGGTCTAAGGAAATTCGTCCACTGAATGTGAGCCACAAAAAGTACCCTTTTGCTCAGAGATGCATGAAAGGTAAAACATCAGCGTATCCAACACTGTTCTCATCATAAAAACTAAAGGAGGGAAAACTGTGATTACCGCTTGGGCTACTGGCATCCACATAAAGAGAAGGGTTGCAGTCCATCCAGATAATCCACCAATAATCTTCACTCCTTTCTCGGAGAGGTTGCCTGTCCTTGCCTGCAACATATGTGAACATTAGTCCCAAGAGGCTGATTCACAATGCCGAGTTTAAATACCGGCTCTTTGATTAACTTGAGTAACTGATGTAGGAAATGGTTGCTGATCAACCACCCTCTACAATCCTGGAATTTTTAACTTCATAAAAAAGAGGGTAACGAGCCTCTCGTCTCAATACAGATTATTTCACTCAGGTTATAGAGTTCCTTATTCAGAAATGCTGGCAGCATATAAATTTATTCAGTATAAGATCATTAATCTCAGAAGCAACAACTTCAATTCAAGCCTAGATCATGAGAATGTGCACAATCGAAACCATCATCATTTCCCTAAGCATGTCACTGGCTGTGCTTTGTAATCCATCTGCCACTTGATAATTCAATACAATAACCAAGACGAAAAGGCCTACGAAACTTACCATGACGACAGCTGTTAGAGCTAACACAAATGATACTGCCCCTGGCAAGATAGATTCCGGAAGGTATGGCACGAATGTCGACCACATGAGCTGCACTTAAATGAAAACAAGCGCCCGCATTGATAAATTTGCGACAGAATCCCTTGATACACTATGTACACGGAGAAGTGCAAGCACCAACAATCTGAGATAGAAAGTTCACCTGCGGAAGAACGGAGAGTCCACCAACAGTAATGAAGTCTTCCCAGAAGCTCCAAACACCGGCATTAAGCTTTCCAAAGTAGTTCAGGTAGTTTAGTAACACCCCAACCCATACAACTACCGAGGTCACGACAAATTGAGGCAGAGGCATTGCTTCCCCGATGACCAGTTGTGTGAGCACAATGTAGCTGGAGATCACTCCCAGAGTTTGAACCACCATCGCCTCTGTTTCCCTTTTCTTGGCGAAGTATGAGAGCAGTGAAAGATTACCTAGTAAACCCGTAAGCATTCCCTGAGATCATTACAAGCAATTTTCAGCCTTGGGAACGATACACAGCTCCATCAGTATAACATATAGCATGAACAACAGGCGTAATGCCCGAAAAGGAGCACTTACAAGCCATGGGACTGCCAAAAGGGCAGCATTGTTTCCGGCCATGAGATTGCGGGCATTGAGAGTAATCTGCGGTATTTGCAACAGCAAGAAGGGGAGGTTTGCTGCCGCAGCGAATTTCGCTGTCCAGGAATCCCAATGCTGAAAGATCTCGGTCCTCTTTACCTCCACTGGTTCCTACAGAGCGAAGAAAACGAACAGAACCAGGGAAAATGAATCAATCGCAATTGAATCAGATTGTTGTCAGTACCCAAACAAACAACAAATGGGCGCCCGTATTAGAGCAACACATTACAACCCTTACCTCATGCTTGGCGTGTACGTGGAGAGGCCGAGGGACGTCCGATTCGCCGGCGGAACGGCGAACGAGGGGACGCCGGCGTAGATGCAAGGGAGCGAAGGAGTAGCCGACGATGGATGACTTCTGGAAGTGAACGGCGGGGAAGGATGAAGGCCGCCATGGAGGGAGTGAAACGGAGCGAGAAGAAGGTGAAGGAAGAGAGAGCAGCGGCCTGTCGATCAGTGGCGGGAATGTGAAAGACCTGGCCGCCATTTCCGATTCAGAAGAGGAAGGGAAAATGGAAAGGGGGTTTGTTTGTACGAGTTAGAAGAGGAAGGAAGGAGTATTGGGATGGGGGAAATGGGGAATGGTGATGGGAAGAGTGATTGAGAAGCATATGTGGGGTTGGGGAAGGAAGAGGGGAAGAAGGGCCGACGGAAGCGGCGGCGGAGGTGGCGGTGCCAAGCAGTGGCTGAGAGTGTGGAGATTGGGCGGTGCCCGAAAGAAAGGGAGAGAGAGAGATGTGAGTGAAGAAGTTAAGGGAAGCAGAGCACGCCACGTGGAATCTAATCGAGATATTAAGTGGTGCTGACCTGGTACGGGTAGACTGTTCTGGTTCTCTTCTGCGTGACTCCTTTTCCCGTTGGGATATTTTCATACTAGCTTATAAGTTGTAATGTTGATATTTAATTATTTATATTTTTATGTTACGTTTTAAGTCTATTAACCTGTATGATACATAAAGAAAGCATATATAGGCCGAACACTCAAAGAAATACTCTCATCGTTTAAGAATATAAAAATGTATCATAAATTTCGTTTTCATAATGATAATATTATATTGGTTAGTTAATTGTCAAGAAAGATAGAATATAAAACCTCACTGGAATCACCACACGACCCATATATAGTTTGAAACTGAATCTAAAACCTCGGAATCTTACATGAAGGGTTCAATGCTCTCCTTTTAGGAACAGTATGCCACTAATAAAAAAGAAATGGAGAGTTGTTGGTTCAAGTCAACTATATACAAAAAACTAAGGTAAGAGGGGACCATCAAAACTTGAGAGCAAACGACAAAATTAGGGTTACCTCCAATATACTAATAGACCTGATCAAAGTCATAAAACACAAAATTAGACACTCCTTATCTATTAGTTTCAGTAAGTTGAATAAAGAATTGACCTACTTCAGTAAATCAATCAATGATTCCTCGTTTTAAGATAGAAATAGGTTATGGTAGCTGCAAAAACCATAAACCTAAAGAGTCAATAGCCACCACTCTTCGTTGAACGACCAAATTTTTATCCACTCTATCTTCACTTTTTAATTCTCCTCCTATAACTCCATTTCTGCTACTTTGATGAACCTTCTCTTCGTGGCCCTCAGTTTCTTTTCCAATTGGGGTTCTTGTCAACTCGCTCTTCAACTCCTCAATCTTCTTCTTGTGTTTTGTCAACTCATATTCCTCAGGGGCAGTTGTAATAAGTTCGCTAAAACCAACACTCATCTCCAATTCCATCAATATGTTCATCTCCCCCTTGTCTGCCTTCACCTGCTTCAGTCCACTTCCATGCCCTTCGATACCCTCTCCATTTTCATTACTATCCTCATCATCTCTCACTTCTCTCTCTTTAACTGCTCCAGTTTCGCTTCCATGTCTTTCAATACCCTCCTCAATCCGCTCACTACCCTCTCCAACTCCCTCTTCTCTGCCTTCACCTGCTGCAGTGGAACTTTACCTGCTACCAAAGTCAAACACCATTTCTTCCCCCCACCACTTCCATTCTCAAACTCAATTCCAACTGATCTTCTACTCAAAGTTCAAATCATAACTACTTGATTGAACTCCATTCTATTCGACATGGATTGATATCGGATTTGAAATCTTCTACTTGCCCAACTTAAACCGGAGGATTAATTTTCAAATGCGCCCTTGTACTGGGAAGTGAAAGGGCCAAATTATTGCACGATGGAGGGACTTTCGGAGGAAGTTCGAAAAAGATAATAACAAAGATAAAAAAGTACAAAATTTAAATTGAAAAATGCAATGACACAAGGGTAAATACAATTTAATATCCAAACCTTTCATTTTAAACAATATAATAGCCAAACCTTTTCGAAAACAATATAATATCCAAATCGTCAACTTTCTGTTCGTTTGACCGTTAGTTGACACTCCAAAAAAGCTTTGTTTAGGGGAAATTGTCACAATACAACTTTGTTTCTTGTTTTGGCATTGCAGATGACTGAATATTTAGATATTCTATACCATCATGGTGGAGTCATGGACTTCTCGGGTTTGGAACTACGATATGTTGGTGGTTTTTCAGAGAAGATATCGATGGATATTGATGAAGTGTCGTACTTCAAACTTTTTTGAAGTGTCAACTAACGGTCAAACAGACAGAAAGTTGACGATTTGGATATTAGATTGTTTTCGAAAAGGTTTGACTATTATGTTGTTTAAAATAAAAGATTTTGATATTAAATTGTATTTACCCATGACACAACACATAGTAAGGAAATAGTTTCTTCCATGTTAGCCAATTACAAATTTACCTTAGCGAAAATTAAAGAAAGAGTATGAATTTTAAAATGGAGAAAATTACATGAAACTCTACTATGGAAATTGAAGTATTAAGCACCATAAAAATACATACGGTAGACCTAGTGGGCTTGTTGATCATGATATAAAAGTCATTCACTTTCCAGAGTTTAACTTTGTGTATGTTTTGTATTCAAATAGAAGCAAGAAATTCATTTAGTATAATTGGTTATGATTGTTGTCTTTATTTGAAGAGACGCGGGTTCAAATCTTGATATTTGAATACGTCCTTTCCTCCGGCGACGCAGCCAGCCGACCATGGAATTTCCCCTCTCGTCATCCTCATCGTCTCCATTCTAGCCGCTGCTTGCAGCTACTGCGTAATCTTTGGCAAGTCCTTGAAGCGGTGGGGTCCCGGCGCCAACCGATATGGTGATCGGAGTTTGGGGAGGATTTTTTCCGTATTTAAATATTTCTGGGTTTCTTTTATATTTTTTTACCAAAAATAATATTTTATTTCCTCTTAACGGTAGATGCACGGAATTTTGGACGGATGTACAGTTTGGTGACGTTAGTGGTACCCGACGCTATATTCTTATTTATGTGGTATGTCTCCCCCAATTCTCATACTTTAGTGGTACCCGAGGTATTTTATCCTAGTTTTGGGTATATTATGGTAATATGATTAGGATGGCAATTTGAACCCATTTCTTCTGATATTATCTGATCTGTACCGTGATGGGGCAGATATTACCCGACGAGCAGTAGTGTGAGGCGGAACTTAGTTATCTACTTCTGACTCGTCCTGCTATGCCCCTCCCCGTTCTTGGTTCATTTCATTTGAATTTCTTACAATATTGTATTCATATTTCTTCTATTTTGACTTTTTTCAACTACTTACACCTGATCTTTCAACTAGTTAGACTCGACTACCCATTCTATTGTGACTATTTTTCATTCATAAAGTGTTTTTTTATATTTTATCATAAAACGTAAAATTTTAGGTGGATTTCTTTCATGGAGTTAATAAGAAAAAGACCACTTAATCTTTGGAAATTTACCGCCTAGTATTTGATTTTTCAGCAAATCTCGCAATTGAAATTTTTGCCATAGCTTACTAATGTTATTAAATTTATATTAAAGTGGGTCTTATCAAATCATATAGTGGAAAACAGAACAAACAAAGGTTAAAAACAAAATTGTGGGCAACCAAGATACAATCTGGGCTCCCACTCCTTTATCTATAGCAAAGATAAGTCGAGTAAAAATGTACGTAGCTGCCCGAGCCCCCGCATTTTGTGACACGGAGAATTTCTGGATCCGCTTGAGCAAAGCCACGACATTCTTATCCAACTCTTCAAGCGAAGAAAAGGAAAAGGGAAGTAAACCGTAACCAGCTGCCATGCACAACTCCCGATACTTGGCACACTTTCGCTAAGCAACATCAATAACAACTCGGCCAGACACAAAACCAGTCATCCCAGTCTGAGTCAAAGGAGAAGATCCAGTCAGATCCACACACATCTCGCCCCTTGTCCTAGGAATAAAGCAACAAATCGCAGGAAGAAGGGGTCCACCATGCCCATCAACCAAACCGATATCAACCTCACCACTGGCAGAAATCTCAGACCTGTAACAGATGTCCAGTAAGGTGCCATGGATGAGGTTATGTCGATGCTTAATGCCCACAGTACCAACACAAGACACAACATGATCTCCCAAGATATCACCATGAAAGACACGGGAACAAGCAGGACATGACTTGGATACCGAAAACAATGGGACACCCAGTCGATAACTAAGCACACTATATATGTCCTTCCATTCATATTCTGCACCAACCCAGGAATAGGAACAGCACGCAACCAATCAGAAGAGTGCACACTCTGCTGAGACTTCCACAAAGACTCTTTGAAGTAGCAATTTATGTGAGTTTGCAACACAAAAAACCTCGGCAAAATTTGGTAAATACCCGACCGGGTATTTTCAAGGAAACCGGGTATTCAGTCCAGCACCCCCAGTAGGTACGTGTAATTACCCGATCGGGTATTGTGACAGGGTTTCGGGTCTGGTCGAGTTTGACCTTCCTTTTAGGTTTAGGTTTTTGTTCTTTTTTGGGTTTTTTGTTATTTTATTTGCCCTAGGCTATATAAAGGGTTGTAAACACGAATTTTAGGGAAGGAGAGTTTTGTTGAATGAAAATTAACTCTGAGGAGTTTTCCCCATGGAGCATGAGTGCTTATGATTTATTGGTGGATTCCATAGGTAGGGCAAGATCGTTGTTTGAGTTTTTCTGTGGAAGTTTCCAGAAGAGTTTAGCAAGACTCTTATCAATTAAGCGATCACACTTGATTGTGGTGAGTATATATCCCCACGTATCCTTTATTTTGTGTTTGTTTGAAAGTTGATTCGAGCTATCCGAGCTTGAGTCGTTGATGTGCGAATGTGACAAAAAGATCCTAGGCTTTCACGAGCTTGGGATGTTTCTTATCAGCAATATATCTGAAATCAATTTGGAAAATGGCTCGAAGTCGCTATACTACGAGTCTAACATTAGTTTGCTTGTCACTGCTAGGTGAAGGAGCTTACGAGACAAAAACCATGCAATTCATTAGATACTAGCAATGACACTTACGTCGATCTTCGATACTAATTAACTAGCATCCTTTTTTGTCCAAGAGATAACAAGAGAAACAAATAACAATAGAAATAGCACTGCACCCTCAATCTAGGAACCTTCCTAAGACAACATATTAATGGAGTAAACCTAGAAAATCAAAGGAAACTAACTCCAAATGAGACAGGTTCAGGGCTTTTGTTCTGCCACTCTATGAGCATCTCAGTATGCAGTATGCGAAACCGCCCTAAAACTATACAAAAAGAAGCAGAGGTGATGAGCTGACGACTCTCTCAAAGCAGGGAGCCCTTCTAGTTAATCGCTATCACACCTGGATCAAGCTGTCAAATCACCACCTTAGAATCATTCTCAAGGATAAAACAAGACAGAACAACTAGCTTTTTACCCGGCTTTTGGCTCAGATTTTTTAATTTGTTTTCCATAAAACATTTATTAAAATTTAAAGTAACCTTCTCTTGATCATTTTGGGAAAACTCAATAAGAATTGATTTACAAAAATGATAGATGTTTAGCTTTATTCTTACATGTTATTAAATGGATTTGAAACTAAAACCTGCACGTGGTTGAAGACCTCTAGATCAAGATATTGTTCACCTTCATGTTAGAATTTTGTAGTCTGATTTGTACGGTGTATTTCACCAAATTGTTTAATATTTTATATTAATTAGTACGTGTAACAATAATTTATTTTATCATTTTATCCAACGTCAAAGTACGACCTGATTCTTTTACCTATTTATCAATAGTTATTGAAGAAGTTAAGTATTAATTGCATCATTTGCTTGTGGCCTCTCTCATAAGCCTCCTCTCTCAAACCAACTATTAGTATTAAGAATGACCAAAACATTCTATGGTTTCTCAATTATATGCGACGAAGTTTAGTCGATAGTTTTGTATTTCAACAAAAATTCTATATCCACCTTCGATTTATAAAAAATTGGAACACGTGCTTGTGTTATGATTTGAGAAAACTTCAAATGATGGATTGATAATCATTTTCATTCAGGACGATTTTAGAAATTTTGGGACATATTTAGTTGTTCACATCGTATATTCATATTTTTTAGCTTGGAAGTAGAAAAAACACAAATGTGAATGAGAGGTTAGCATATGCTAACCTCATTAATAATCCTTAATATTTTAATCTCATATCCAACTATAGATATTGATACAGATAGTTTTGGAATTTAAAAATTAAGTCTGACTTTATATTTAAATTTCACAACAAAAATACTAATAGATTTTCTCTCTCTATCCCAGTTTTCTTTTCCCATAAACAAAAGTTAGTTTAAAACGAAATAAAATGATCAACAATTTAAATTTTAAATTTAACGAAAAAATCTAACAGATTTTCCCCTCACGGTCTCTTTCTCTTTTCTCTCATTTCTTCTCTCTTCACATAAACGAATACGTTAATTTAAAAATAAAATAAAATATTATAGTGGTTAATCATCCGGGGAAAAATAGGCGGAGAAATTACAGGGGAAAAAATAGGCAAAGAAAAGGAAAAAAACTGTGTGGCTTCATGATATCGTAGAGAATTTGAAATGAAGAAGGCCTTTTTGAGAAACCCTTTAATATATTTTAGGGATTGTGACCACATTAGTGGTAACAAATTATGTATCGTATATCTAGCCTAATAGTACAACTATAAAAGGTTGATCAAGATAGACAAAGTAACTATCATACTAACTATTCCTAATTTTAGTGACAAATTCATTAAATTCAAAGAATAATCCGGTAAAAAAAACATATCTCAGTGTTGACCATAAAAGAATTATGTAGTAATTTGGAACAGCCATTAGTTTCATGGCCATAGGTTTGGTGGTCGACAGTAATCAGTAATGTACTTGTATCCGGAAACGGTTTTGCGATGAGAAGCCTTTTGTTTCCCATTTTCTTACAAAAGCTCTTATTCAGTATATCTGTATGTGTAGAACTAGATGATGATCAAACTCTCTACAAATGGAGTCTTCCTTGGAGGTTCCAATCACATATACTCACTGTTGATAAAACTATAACAAAAAGAAAAGAAAAATTTTGATACAGATTTTCCTTCCCTTTTCCTGTTTATATACACTACACAGTAAAGTTCTGTTCTTTGTTCTTTTTATAATCAACTAATGTTTGAGTAGCATGGTTTCCATCTTCCTTTTCCTTGCTGCAAGTTTTAGCTTCTCCAATGCAACCAGCCCAACTTGCCTCACTCTTTCCCTCGACAACCCTATGCTGTCAACCCAGAATCAAACCAAAAACAACAGGTTCATACTTAACCCTGGTGTCACAAATCAGAAGGAAGAAGAGTGCATCTGATGCAAGTATATTCTAGGAGGAGAACTGGACGTGTAAGAATGCATTGACTAACCGTTTGCTGATGTCCTCCCACGTAAGGCATTTTGTATCGAGGCCATAGTAAAGGCGTATGATCTCTCGTTCTCGTTCTTGAAGACTCAAGTCGATTAGCTTATTCACTTCATCCTGCCAGAAAAGTGGTGCATACATTGATGATGTCATTGGAATGCTGATGGAAACATATAGCTACTAACTCTTCAGTCTATAGTTAAGTCAATAATGAAATGTTTGTGGTCCACTTTACCTTGAGTGCCCATTCGTCTACTCCATGCCAAGGGTTGTTCTCCAAGTGGTTATCTGCAATGTACTTCAGCATTGAAAATGGAGGGAAATGTCAGCAGCATATTCGAAAATGATGTTATGATTTAGAACTTGGGAATCCCAGCATTTGGGGTCACTCACACCATGGTGGGATTCTCCAGGAAGACCGTTCAAGGAAGGGAAAGCATCCCGATCCATCGAAATGACCTTGTTAACAGCCTATAGCACAAGGACCAAACCGATATCTATTCAGTTAGTACAAAAGCAAGAGAAAAGGCGTAATCTTTCAACAGAATGAACTTTCACTTCTCATGCTATAATACCTGTGTAGCATTTCTCACTTTCTTCTCTGACATATTCAGTGATTCTGCAATTCTCTGCAGAAAGGTGAAGTAGGATAGAGTCATGTAGAGCTAAATTCCACCAACTTCATATATACTACATAATGGAAACATGATATTTGTTGAAAACCAGTCCAATCCCAATAACTCAGAATTGTTGGGAGATGGAACTTATAAACCATTCCCTTAATACAAAAAAACAACTTAGATGGGCTTACTTCAATGGATGGTGTTATTCCTTTCTCTTCAAGTCTGATCTTTGCATTCCTTATGAGGCCTAACCTCTCATGCAGATGATTAGGTAGCCTTAAGGTTCTTGAATTCTCAACTAAAGCTTTTGAGACACCCTGCATTAGGAAAGGAAAGTGGTATCAACAATGTGCAATAATAACCAATAAAAGTTCACAGAATTGCAGGCCAGCTGAAAGATTCAACACCCATTACCTGACGAATCCACCAATAAACATAGGTAGACATCTTAAACCCCTTTGAAGAATCAAACTTTTCTATGCCACGCAATAGTCCGATCAGACCTCCCTATGTATAAGCACATTGCACTGTTAGGTAAAAATGAGAGGAAGCTAGCTCACTCCAGTAAGAAGTGGGGATATTATTGAGCTTTAAACCTCAATACTTGGGTAAACAAAGGTAATAATGAAATGTCACCTGAACAAGGTCAGCCAGTTCGACACCCATCCTGTCATACTTTTGAGCTATAGACATAACCAAGCGAACATTGTTCATCGCCAGCTTCTCTCTGGCCAATGAGCAAGCCATCTGTTTGGAATGCAGTTCAGTACGAGATATCTTCAAGGAATCAGCCAGTTGTTCATCAGAGGGATCACATCCCAGTCTTTCTTTCAGCCTGCCAATTTCCGAAAAAATAACCATTTAGGGTGTGTAACTAAAAGTAAGTAAACTTCTAGGGGAAGAAGTTGTAACTTTTTTCTTCTCAGTTTTACTACAACTAAGTTGAAAGAAACATATCCTTGATTAGTTCCCCAAATGGCAATGTCATGTACAAAGAAAGAAATGGTTCAAGGAATTTGTTACCTGGATTTACGTTCCTCCAAGGAAAGACCAGCTTTGATAATTGTCGACAGACTCACCACTTCTGCATGAGTGAGCAGTTGTTCACTCACCACGCCCTTCACGTAACCAGTCAAGCGATTATGCACCAGCTCGGGGCTAATACCACTCTGCCCTACAGCTTTCCTCTTAGTATTGATTCTTCTTTGGCGTGCAGAGACCCCAGAACAGGTAACTACGGGAACCTTCTTCTTCTTCTTCTTCTTCCCATTCTTCTTACCAGCAGCAGATGATGCATCTGCCCTCTCGTCGTCAAATGAGAGACTCCATTGCTTCTCCAGCATAGTTCTCTGCAATAGAAGAAGTGCCTCTAGCGAGGAGTGAAGAACATCACAACTTTCTTCTTCTTCTTCTTCTTCTTCTTCTTCTTCCAAGTCCTTCAAATTAGTCTCAGTCCATGTGGTTGCAGCTGTTGCAGTGTCTACATGGTCTTTTAGTGCCTTAATGGAATGTGTGGATCTACTGGAACCCGGGTAGCCAGGGCCACAATGTGACGATGAGGATGTTGATGACGACTTTTTGGCAACTACAATGCTTCTGGATGAAGTGAATTGAGAGTGGGATGATCCATGTTCGGAGCTGCTACAGAAGAGCTTCTCGGGAGGATCAGAACAGTAATGGAAGGACGAAGGCAGGAGTCTGTTTCCTGCAGTGAGTCCAATGACTGCAGTGGTGGCCATCATATGGCTTCTTCCCCAGCAACCTCAGTAACCATTACAAGTTTTCTTCCCCAACATGAAATTTGGCAGTGGAAACTTAAAACCCTTTGAGTTGCTTTCTATATTTGGTTCTTCCACAGGGAGAAACCAAATCAGTAGGGCTCAGCAGAAATCAGCGTTTCCCCCCTCCTAATTTGGTGATCAAAACACAAGTCACTCTCCAGCTTCATATGTGTAATGGCTTCTTTTATAATTAAGACGAACATTTTAATATAGTACACAATGGAATGGCAAACCAAAAGTCCAAAACCCAGCTCATAGAATAGCGAAAGGACAGAGAAGGAAAACACAAAATTGGAATCGTTTGAAGCAGTGCAGCAAAACACACAGCAATAAACAGGGAATTGATATCCATTGAAGCAATACACTTTTCCTTACTGAGCTCCATGGCGGGAAACGCTCTAGTTGATGATGGTATATGGTTAGCAGTTAGCACATAGAGTTGAACACTAATGGGCACATATGCATATACATGCAGCAGCTTGGAGTTTGTCTCCAATTATATCATCAGACTCAAATCCCATGTTTCAAAATCTTTTAATCGTTTCATAAACAAGTGGGAAGTGATTAGAATGAGAATCAGAAGCTGGGTTTGGATTGACAAGCATACACTCAGCAAATGTTAAAGGATGGAAATGAATCACATAGTGGCTGGTAGCAAAGAGGAAGAAAGAAAGAAAGAGAGAAAGGCCAAGCTGGTGCAGAATAGATGAGTTTGAGATGTGAAATGGCAACTTACCTGATGATGAACGGAAACTGAATTTCGATCAACAGCAGCCTGAGAAGAGGAGAAGCCGGAAGAAAGGGAGATGGCGATGAGCACAGAGAGGAACAAGAACCTCTCCTTGTTTCTCGTTGTGCTACGTTCGCCTGTCAGCCTGGCTGTAACTGCTTTGTTATCTGCTCGGTTTTCCTCAGTCAGGATATTTTATACATATATTCACTCATTTATCGATCCATCATTACTGCGAGCATGTCATCAAATCAAACGGATAGATGGGTTGGGCAGAAAATCGGGAACAGATAAAAGAGCAAAATAAAATCGGGAATTCGAGTGGTTCATATTCCGCCATTTTCTAACTCTCTCTCCCACACACACCTTCTCCTCTTTCTGTTCTCATTTATTGCTGCATTTCTGCGCTTTTTCTCCAGAATTATAATTTAATTCTCTCTTTTCTCTGTATGCAGTTCTGCACGAAGAAATCAATGTCTTCCTCTTGTTCTTGTTCTCTAGTGTACTCCATGAAAAAGGAGAAAATCTTGACAAAGGATGTCTAGTTGGTTGGTTGGTTGGCCTAAAAATAGGACCGACGTGCAAAAGAATGACTTCTGCAAAAACATACGAGATTGAGGAGTTGATATATCCTTCAGTAATCATTAAAATTTACTCGAAACAACGCATTAGAGAGTCTTCGAAAACACAAGACAAACCTCAATTCAATGGTGCACAACGCACCATATACCATCTTCACCATATTAAACTTTGAACAAACTTATTACCAGCCACAAAAGGATCGGCATTCCTCAAATGTGTCAATGTCAAATACAGAAAATAATCATGGCTGAATCTTCCAATAGCATAGAAAATTACCAACGACACGGCATTCCCTCCAGCAAGCAGAGCAACTCGACTATCTGCATGACAGAACAGAGGTTGGACTCGACTATCTACTCATCGAAAAGCAATACAGCAAGGTCAAATATATTATTATTATTATTTTACAAAAAGTAATCATATATTGATCAGAGAAAAGATAGTTACATCATGGAATTGAGCCACGCCAAAAAATCAAAGAAACGATTTGCAGACGGGTACAAAAGCAAGGCCTTCCGAGCCACCAAATGGACTACCCTATTATTACGTCGACCTACAAACCGTACACTAAACCCGCTATGGTTAGATAAGCAATGCAGAACTTCCTCCAGAAGGGCTCCAATCCGGCTATCTCTGACCTCATAGTGGTTGAGTTTATCAATTACCACTTGGGCATCCCCTTCAAACCGTACATCCGTAAACCCAGACGCACTACACCAATGAACTGCTTCCCGGAGCGTAAGCACCTCAGCAACCAGAGGGTCATCTATGACACCAAATTGAACACATTTAGCCCCTAGAACCATCTCGTCCGGGGTCAGGACAACCATTCCTCCTGCTGAATGAGAATCATGTTTGGTAGTCCCATCCCACTTGCAAACTAACGAACCAGGGTTTACATTCCCCAGAGGTTGATTAGCAAATATAGGGGACCGCTACTGAGCCCTACCCCCAGGCAAACTTATCCACTCCTGATACTGCTAATTAAATTGACGCGTAGGGCTGGGATCCCGAACTACTTGCCCTAAAATACAACCCAATTCCGACATCGCCAGATACTCCAAAGAATTGCAGCAACTGCCATAAGCAGCTGAGGTTGATGAATACACTGCATCAACTTTTTCAGGAATAAAGGGAACGTGTGCCTAGGAAGCCCTTGACCAAGATACTCCAAACCCGCATAATCCCACAATGCCCTTGCCACTGGACAGTCGAGGAACAAATGTTTCAGCGTCTCAGACTCTGCCCAGCACACCGGACATCGAGGATGGACAAGGATATCCTTCTCAATAAGAGCTTCAGTCGTAGGCATGAGACGGTTGAAAATTTGTCACAGAAAAATACGCAACTTAGGGCGGATAGGAGATCAAACAACAGGCTCAGTTTCGAGTCACACCAACGTCCTTCCCCCGAGCATATGACCTCAGCAACCACCGTGTTCCAACCAGTTGGCAAAACCTGCGGGTTGTGGACGGGTCTCTCGAGATGCAGACGAGGCACCCAATTATTGTTCAGCAGCGGGGTAGAGCGGCCATTGCCAATTTGCCATCGAAGATCCTTAATTAACAGTTGTCGACCAAAGAGAATGCTCAACCAGTCCCAGGCCGGGCGAGACCGAGCCGTGGCCTCAAGAAAACAATCTTTGGGGAAATATTTTCCCTTATACACTTGGGCCCGAAGAGAGGTGGGATCATTCAGGATCCGCCAGCCAATCTTATCGAGAAGCGCCTGATTGAAATGCTCAAATCGGCGAAACCCCATCCCTCCATCATGTTTACTCCTGCACATGTTCTGCCAGGACATCCAACGAATCTTAGACTGTCCATTCTCCACTCCCCACCAAAATTTGACCACAGGCCTTTCCAGTAGGCGGCAGAGCAAAAGGGGGAGGCGAAAGCAGGACATAACATGTAAAGGCAAAGCCATGGCCACAGATTTGATCAAGGTCTCTTTCGCCGCCCAAGATAAAGTCTTTTGCTTCCACCCCTGAAGTCGTGCTAGAAGCTTCTCTTCCAAATACCTAAAAGTATCTATTTTTGACCGGGGGATCAGGGTAGGCAGCCCCAAGTATTTATCGTGAACCCCTATTGTACCACACCCAGGATTTGAGCTATGAACTCCTTATCCGGGACAATAATATTTCTGCTAAAGCAGACTGCTGACGTGGCCAGGTTAACCCTCTGGCCGCTGAGCTCCTCGTATTCATTTAGCACCAGAATCAAGTTTTCGCATTCTTGAAGCGACCCCGTAGGAATAAGTATGAATCATCCGCGAAGAACAAGTGTGAGATACGAGGAGACCGAGGGGCAACCTTGACTCCTTCCAATTTCTTTTCCGAAATAACTTTCCGGAGGTGGGCGGCAAACCCCTCCATGCAAAGCACAAACAGGAGGGGTGACAACGGATCCCCCTCCTGGAGTCCTCTCGAGAAAGTGAAGAAACCCTTGGGAGTGCCATTTATCAGGACTGAAAACGAAGCCTATCTAAGACACTCATGTATCCACCCTTGCCAGGTTGAATTAAACCCCCAACTTGTCCAAAGCCGCAAGGAGAAAAGGCCATTCGACTCTATCATAGGCATTTTCCATGTCAACCTTCATAGCCATGTACCTTCTTTCCTCGCGTTTTGATTTTCAAGTAATGCATCAATTCATGACCTAGAAGGACATTTTCCACAATCTGGCGTTCACGAATGAAGGCATTATGACCTTCAGAAACAATATGAGGTAACAAGCCAGCCAGTCTCTCGGCCGTAATCTGGGTATCTTGTAAACAAATTGGCACAGACTAATATGGCGGAGTTGCCTCATGTTCTCAACATTGTCAACTTTCGGGATTAATGTCAGCCAGATATGATTGAAGCTGCAGAGCATTCTACCAGTGGAGAAGAATGAACAAACAGCGGCTATGACTCCCCGACAATATCCCAGAACGATTTGAAGAACTTCCCGTGAAGCCATCAGAGCCCGGTGCCTGTTTCGAACTCATGGAGAAGACCGTCCTCCTTACTTCCTCAGGAAGGACCACCGATGTGAGACTGACATTCATTTCATCAGTGACTCTATGTTCTATTGGTAGCATGGCTACCCGTTCCCCCATGTTAGGCACCTGATTTTCTGAGGAAAAGAGAGATCAATAAAAGTCTGTGGCAATATTTGCCTTACCTCCCTCTTCCGTTATCCACTCACCAGCATCATTACGAAGGCCCGCTACAAAATTTTGTTTACGACGAGCTCTTGTTACCGGATGAAAATACGCAGAGTTCTTATCCCCTTTTTTAAACCAACGGACCCTCGACTTCTGTTGCCAGTAGACTTCTTCCGCCTCCCACTGTCTATTCAAAATTGTTCCCGGGGTCTTCACAGTATCCCACTCAATCGGGAAAACCAGTTTGACCCTGTCAATTTCTGCCTGAATAGCTTTTATATTGCGGAGAGAATTAGTAGTACTCGCCCTGCTCCAGTCGTAAAGCAAATGACGGAGTTTCTTAAGTTTCTCCCACAACTGATACATAAGCGTCCCTGGGATTTCCTCCTGCCAAACGTAGGTGACCATAGCCTTCACTTCAGGATTGTCAACCTAGCGGGCGTCGAAACGGAATAACGGCCGGCTATTACGGATATAAGGCTTGTCTGAAAGGAGCAAAGCACGGTGATCTGAGCCTTGATCAGTGAAATGTTTTACAAGGATATCTAGGAAGATGTCAATCCAATTTTGAGAGCAGAGAGCCCATGCCACTGCGACAAATACATATACAATTAAATTATTTTTATTAACAATAAAAATGGACTTCGATACAACACAAACACGTACACCATGCTGCTGGGAAGCACGACCTTCAATTTCTAGGAGGGAAGGATAAATAGAAAACAAATACACACCGAGCCAAACAAACAAAATCTTTCATGGTAAAATCCACACGGGCGGCGACCAAATCAAAGAAGGTTTATACAAGCCGTTGCAACAAAATGGTTCAACTGTACCATCACTGAGATGAAAAATGCCCATATCATGACCACCAAGCCGACCTGGTACATGCTTCGCAATGTAATCATCTGTGAAATAAATGCAGTTCGATTTAAGCCCCGGATAATCTCTGGTAGAAACACAACTAGAAGCATTACTACCCAAGAAAAATGCAAAATCACCAAGGCTTTGAACCCTATCCCAATGATATGTATCTTCATTGAGCCTGCAGACCATGAAATCTTGCGACCAATAACTCTCCAAGTCCGCCTCCCCATCCAATTCACCATCAGTGAAATCTAGAATACTATCTTGATCATCATCATGGTCACCAACAACATCCTCAGGATGATCATCATCGTCACCGACATCCTCGTTGTGATATGCAGCTTCATGGTGACCAACATCCCCATGATGATCATCACCACCACCTACATCCTCGTTGTGATATGCAGCTTCATGGTGACCAACATCCTCATGATGACCAGCATCCTCATGGTGATGACCACTCGATCCATAGCCGCCTTCAGCAGCAGGTGGAGCATCCTCATCGTCGAATTCATATCTCACGGATTTGATAACCATGATCAACTCATCATCTGGACCAACAACCAGGTACGTGAATGGGGAAGCAACAGAAACACCAGCAGCAACCAGGCAAGATATGGTGGGAGCAGCAGGATTATCAATATCACAGCGCAAGACATTGCCATGGCAATCAACGACATGAAATCGATTCCTCCAAAACACAATGCTGTTACACGAGGCTGAGATGCGTTCAGGATCGGGAATCAATGTCCACCTATCCCCACCGGGCTTGCAGTACACTAAATCCCGGCCTTCGTTAGTACGAATGGCCATTAGGGTGCAACTGCTATCCTCCTCCGATGTAGTTGGATCAGCTGACATTGCAACTACTCTCAAGAAGTTGAGCCCAAGCCGCCTATTCCCTACTCTTACTCTATCGCCATCAGGATGTTGCAGAACAAATTCACCCCCAACTCGTTCCGGGTTATACTGCAAAACGTCCGGTAAAGAAGTGAAGGGTGGCAGTGAGATTTGTTTACCTGTAAGAGGGTTCAACAACACCGGGGCTGGGAGCTGCAACATAAACAACCATCCAAATCCTGATCCACGGCAGTTCGTTTTCTCGAAGCCTTGCACAAAGTCAATGTGGTGATATTGGCCGTGGGACAAGTCCAGAAGGCGGCGGCATTGTAATTCCTGGCTGCCGCAACCCTCATTTTGGTGGTCGTCGTCGTTGCAGTAGGGCAACATCAGCAACGGCGAGGAGAATGATTGACGGAACATAAGAGGCTGCAATTCGGCGAGGGTTTTCCTCCATGGCTTACAGACTGCTCGAAAACGGATTGCATGCTTTAATTGGATTAAGTACCTTTGCTCGATCAGGGTCAGCAGCTCCCCAGGTAACTCACTCCAACCGTGACCTTGTTCTGTTCCTCCTACTCTGAATTCTTCCTTCCTCATCATCGTGTTCACCAGATCTCGCCGCCAACACTTGCTGAGTACGATGAGAATTGATCTGTTGGGTTAATTGAAGGACAGGAATTTAGTAGCGCGGAAAGTTAAATTCCTCAAGCAAACTAATTTATGATAATATAGTTGCTGCGTGTTTATCCTGAATCCGAAACCAAAAGAGAGAGGGGGGCAGTTTGAGTAGTGTAAATGGTACGGGTGTTCCGGGTTTAGTTATTTTAATTATCCGACACATGCACTAAGGTTTCGGAAATATTAAACCAAAATCCGAAGAAAAAATAATTAAACTCTACGGTTTGTTTCTAATTTGGTTGGGTCGGGTTGACGATATTTTTAAGTAAAAACTCAACCGAACACAAAATATGTAATTATCTACACCATAAAAGTATTTTATAACTAATTAAAATTTCATACGAATAAATCGAGGTGAAAGGTATCAAAATTCACATATGTTGTTTGAATTTTAATAAAATGTGATTTACTTCAACATATGTCTAGTTTTTTCACGATATTTGTTGAAATAGGCTAAAAAGGTGATAAACAACGCATCCATAATGTGTTATTCTATTAAAATTGTACACAAGAAAAAGGATTATTTGAATCATAGTTATATCAAAATTTATGTCTAAACTTTAAGCCAAAGAATGCATTAGATTAGCGAGACCATGAGAGAAAAACATGGCGAAATATCTTAACTTTGTCATAAGTATGGCTATATATATACGACATAAATATTTTTTGGATACGAACACATAACAATAGTTGGAACACGGTTTGTGTCGGGTTAAGGTTGTCAAACCGATTTATACCGTTGTGCCGGTTTGGCAAGTGGAATGGTATGACCAGTGGTATAACCAGTTTGTGCTGGTTCATGCCGGTTTAAAAAAGTGTAAAAACAATTAATATCCAATTTATTTAATCATATATAAAACATATTTGTGAACAATTAAGTTACAATCCAACAAATATCATCAACTTTTAACTATTAAATTCATAAAATGAATGATAAATTAATTTTTATATTAATTAAATTCATTAAAATGATGTTAATTTGCTTAGAATACGTAAGTCAATCATACCGGTGGTGTCATGCCGGTTTCATGACCGGCAAAGGTTCAACCAGGTTCAACCGGGTGGCATGCCACCGGCATGACAACCATGGGGGTTCTACAGTTGTATAATCCAAAATCTGAACCCAACCTAAAAGAGGCGGGTTGTACAAAAGAAAACCTTCACCCAACCCAAAACCTTCATTTTAGCGATAAATACGGGTGGCTTGGGTCAGGTTGGATGGGTGGGTCGGTTCGCGGGTGTGTTTGTTCACCCCTAGTAACCATGAGTAACCATAAGTAACCCAATCAAAATTTGTCACATCATGGCTCATTCTCTCTCCTGAAAAGTCTTTAATTTTTTTCCCCTTAATCTTTAACGAATGATTTCTCACTCCTTTTAAGTCGGAATTTTATTTTATTTTTATGCACAGTTAGATCATATTAATTATGCTCTTCAAAATGATATCCACTTTGATATATTTTTTGAACAAAAAAATTGAGACGTTGTTGATATAAGAGCATACCATATGATAACAAGCGTATCGTGGTAGTATGAACATACCAGAACTGTAGGATGGTTGAATACATGATAGTAGGAGTATATTGATGGTCATTTACTACTTTCAACATTGTGTAACCAAAAGATAGCACCCCGTACCAGGGTGGTATTGTGTGGTATTTTTTGGTCATATATTTTGTTCACCCGGAAATTTGTAGATCTAATAGATCAGGATAAACTCGTTCCTTCTGTGCAAAAAATTTCAAAAACGACTTAAAAACGAAGAAGATGCCATATGGTATGCAGTTGGTAACGAGAGGCAAAAAAAATTTCTCAAAAAATATTGAAAATGTATCTCATTTTGTAGAGTACAACGAACTCGTTCCATCTGTGCAAAAAAATTGAAATCCAAGTTAAAAGAAAAAGATATGAGCCGATTAAAAAGCAAGGAAAAATAAAAGTGACTTTAATTCTCCACCATTAGATCTGAATTTTTTGGACTACTTAAAAAAAGAAATATCCAGATTTAGTTTTTTTTTTTATAGAAAACATCCAGATTTAGTGTATTTGATACCATTCACCACACATATCACTCCTTATTAGACAACACCACAATTTGAGAGCACTTGTGATTGTATAAATCATCATTTCATAATAATAAAAACTTCATAAATCCTTAAAAGGCATAGCCAAGATGAGATACACGAATGAGCCTTCACAAAATTTTATGGAAAACTTGAACATTGGTTTATAATAGCCTTAGCCAATAGTGAATATTTGTCTTGAATGTTTGGTTTCAAACCATATATTGTTTGCATCAATAACTAAAAGTAATTCATCAAATATCTTGTGTTTTAGTTCAAAGTTTATCTTACATTGGGTCAAATCCACAAACTTAAGAGTCTACTTCCAATATTATTGACAATGTAGACTTAATTGTTGTGGGTTCACGAGGCCGGATGGTCAAAACTATGTTAAATATAAAACAAAACTCTCTCACGTAAAGACATATTGTAACTCACTCGGCCAACGGCCGGGTACAAAGCTAGTCAGCTATTAAACCCTAAAATTGTTTACGCATCTTGCTTCCCACTTAATTTTTAAATAACGAATGAAACTTGTAGCTATTACGCTAACATCTAATATCCTAATATAATTAAAGTGATAAAGGGAGTACTGTAGCATAAGAGTTTTGCCATCTTATGCCATCGGCGACTTTCCTGTGCCAACTCTTCCACATGCATGCCGCTCGGTGGTAAATCATGGAATTAGGCTTTGACACTTTTTATCCTTTTGATTTTGTTTGATACATGAACATGGTTACTAAATCCTTAATTAATCGGTGAATTATAACTTTCATTCAACACTAGAGAGAATGCTATTGGTGTAGGCTTCATAAGTTACTCCAATCTGAATCTTGATTTATGTTCAGAAAAAAAAAAAAATTGTAAAATCATATACCGGAAAAATTAGTATTATGATATTTTGTGCTAGAATTGTAGTTCAATCTTGGTTAAATCATTTCAATAAGCTAAAATCACCTAGCGCTATAGATTATGTTAGGATATTTTGACCACTAGTACAGTACAATCATAGTTCAAACGTGGCTAAATCAGGCTTAACACGTTGCTCCAACCCCAGCCTCGATTTATGTTCAGATATACTAAAAGTTGTAAAACCACATCGAAGGTCACAACAAAAAAGTTAGCATTAGAGCATTTTGTGCTGAAATCATTATCAACTGTGGTTAAATTAGGCTTAACACGTTGCTCCAGCTCGAGCCTCGATTTATGTTTTAAAAACCAAAAATTGTAAAACCATATCTAAGGTCGTACCAAAAAAGTTAGCGGTATAGTCTTTTGTGCTAAATTCGTAGTTCACCCATGGTTAAAATAAGGGTTGACATGTTGCTTCAACCCGAGTCTCAATTTATGTTCAGAAAAAAAAATTGTATGACCATACCGAAGGTCGTGCCGAAAAAGTTATCATTAGGGTATTTTGTGCTAAAATCGTAGCTCAATGGTGGTTGAATCATGTTTGACACGTTGCTCCAACTCGAGCATCGATGCATGTTCACAAAAAAAAAACTAAAACTGTAAAATCACACCGAAAATCGTACCGGAAAAGTTAACATCAGGACATTTTATGCTAAAATCATAGTTCAACTATGATTAAATCATTTCTTACCGTAAATATTAATTACAAATTTAGATTTCGGTAGGAATTTTCTATTGGACATATGCTAAACGCGATAATAAATCAAATACGGATTAGCAAACAATACATCTAAATCCTATGAGAAGCCGCAACGAAGCGCGGCAGAGAATCACCTAGTATATTTCATTAACATTCTACAACTTTGATGGCAATTCGTCAAAAGGAAGAAATCATGATTCTCAACTTCAACTAATCTCAGTTCTCCACCCTTGAGAGAAATCGACATTCGCAGTACAAAACAAGCTAATGAATTACATCAATTAGCAAGCTGACAGTAGCAGCAGCTCTACTTCCCTTTACAAAGACACCCACAAGATGAATCAATCAGAAACCAAACGCAAAGCAATGCTTAACCCGAGGACCGAATGGTCGTCACATTCACATACATATATTGCTCCAAACAATTGGAACGAAATATAGCACCCACCATCTGATGCTTCAAGTCAAGACACCAAACAGAAACTCATAGAACTAATTTAGGAGGCTGCGAGCTTCTCAATTAACTGACTTTTTTACACCGCACAAAAAGGACAGACGTACTATTCAACCCAGACAGTTTTCGAGTTATGAAAGCCATATCACTGGTCTACTATGCAAACTCAAACTCATGAAAACTTGGCAACGGGTACAACAAACTTGATGCAGCAAAAACAGTTTTTTTTTTATGGTAGAAAAAAAAACATAGTTTATTGACAAAAAGAATCATTCAAAGAAAACCAACTAGCTTACACACTTCATGTAACAGAACCTGGCAGGCAAGCTGTTATCATTTGACAGGAAGCTTCAGTTATCACTTCTTCTACGAGGTGGCCGGCTGAAATTAGAGCCCTGCAACTACTGCAATCACTTCAATTACCCCGTTAGATCCAACTGAAGCTCAAAAAATGCACATTGCGTAAATAAATTCACGATCCACATTACGAGGTATCGACACATAAGAAAGAATGACCAAGAAGCAGTAAAGAAATTTGATATCTGATTGCACATGTATAAGTCAAGCCAAAGGAGAAATAAAAAGATAGACACCACAGCTTATATTTATGCAAGCGGAATGAGTGAGGATGAGGATTTCCCTAAGCATCAGTCCACACAGCATGTGGACTATTGAGTAAAACTCTTCCTTTTCCAACACTCTAATACACTGTGTCCCCTTGCAGCAAAAGAATCAAGCTGATAACCAAAAATTACACAATTCTTCCATGATCTTTTCTTCCTCTAGATGCTGGAGGAATGCTTGGTCCTGGATAATTAGCCCTACGCCCTACAAAATAATCGTAAAACAGCACCTGCTTCAGAATTGGGTCATACCACCCTACACTATGCTCTAGCCTAAACCAGATTGCATGAATAAAGTGACAATTCAGATTTCAAAACGAGTCTGACACATACCCCAGGGAATCCCATTGTTGTATGAACTACTTCCAGGAGAAAGTGGGCCCCCAGAACTAAAGCTAGACTGTGGGGGCTGAACTTTGTGATTCCACTCCCCACCATAAGCAGGTCTCCCATGAGTACCACGATGACTGGCTTGCTGTCCTAGTCGGCTTGGAGAGTTCTGAGGAAGATGGGGTGTGAAATGGGATGGCTTTGACATTGAACGGCCATAGCTACCAGCATGCAGTTCGTGTGCTGAAGGAGGGCTTCCCACGTTGACATGTGAAAATGATTGCACAAAACCATTTTGTCTGGTACAAGATATAGGTAACAAGACAGGATTCAAGTTGCAAGCAACACTCTAATATGAAAGTAATGCCAATCAATAATTGCCAGGAGATCCAGTTGTGAACAGAAAAAAGATTCCAATTATCAGTCAATAATGTTATGACTTTATATACTTATCCACTCAAGCTGCCGCGCTGCTTGTGTTGGTTTCATCAATCACAAAACACGATAAAACAAAGTGTAAGATGAACTTATCGAGACCATACCTTTGAACTAAGGAATAAGAGCTTGGGTTTGATTGATGGTTGGATCTTCTTAGAGTACCTGGCTGATTGCCAGAATTAAGATTGACACCTTTGCTGAATTCAGTACTTAGGGAGCCGACATAAGAATTATCCTCTTGCAGAAGAAGTTCATCACTGAAACATGCACAAGATGCAATTAGTTGAGCGAAAATGGTGACACTATGATGCATCCCAAGGTATGACAGCAAAAGCACCGCTATTTCAGGATAGATAAAACCAAAAAAAAAAAAAAAGTTAGATGACGAGAAATTATGAACATTGATCCCCTGGCGCTCCCAAATATATGAAGCGAATTGCTACGCAATGAGTTGCACTGAGGCATATAGCCAAAGAGCTGTGCGATAGAAAAATTCAGTTTCTCTAACAAAGTATACTGATACTAACTCGAACTAAACAGTGTATTATGCATAGTAAGCAATCATCAAGTGAACAAAACATCACACACCTCTTGCAAAAGTAATAACAATCAAAGCCACTGCTAATTTCAATGTGGTCAGGTCCTGTATCTTATTAGAGACCAATAACGACAGTGAAACGTTGTTCCAAGTAAAGATTAGATAGTCAGCCAGCTCACTATTTCTCCTGTAACGGGTGTCTTTGTTTGGGATTCTCCTAGCTATGGGGAAAACAAAACGAACTTGCTAATTCCAATTTTCCTCCTATAGTTACTAAGTACAACACAAAGCAAGCATGAGGCGAGTAATCTGCTCTTAAACTTGTAGTCAACTTTTTCCCAGAAAAGCATAAACAAATATACATGATGTTCTTGTGACATGTTTCACAAGTGAAACAGAAAATGCATGGACCATCTCACCTGTAATTTGGATCCCAATCCCCAGGATCTGGCAATGACAGGTTATCCTCAGGCTTGTCATGATCTAATCCAGTGCTTTGTGACAATGGAATGTTCGTACCAGATCTCGACGAGCCTGACACATTTTGAACTGAAGATTGACCTGGGACAAAACTGCCCCCTTGTTGCTGCGTCCAGCTTGCAGTACCAGACTTTGGCCGCTGGTGTGACGGTTGACTACCAGGGGCCGAGGCAATTCCCTCAACTTGGATAGAGCTGGGATTCTCAAAATGTTGTCCCTTCCAATGTGAAGCTGAACTCTCTTGGGACTGCGTGCTTCCAGAATAACCCCAATTTTTTCTCCGATTGAACTGTGTAGCTGCTGTCATTTTACTCAAGGGCGATCCATGGCAACTGTTCCTTACAGGAGAAGGTGGGCCATAATGTCCAGGAGAACCACCTGAAGCCTGATTGTAGGAGGCTGGAGGAGTGAACTGTGAGGGGCTTGCACCAAGTGGAAAAGGTGCAAAATTCCCTGCTGAGGGGCTTACACCAAGCCCATTCCCATGTGAATACTGGACAAATCTCCGCCTTGCATCAGGACTGCCACCAAGCATAGACTGACCGTGCTGTGCATGCATGTTTATTCCAGAATGATTAACTGGTGAATAATATGCAAACATATTGTTGCTATCTCCATAACTTCCATAGCTACTTCCAAGGCCCAAGCCATCATTATAGCTGCCATGGCTTCCTACACTGCCATAGCTACTTGCATGTGAATACGGGACCATCGGAAAATGTGGGCTGCCATGCATGGAATTCCTCATCTTGCCTTGAACCTGAAATAAAAGTATCTATGTTTTAGTCGTTACTCAAGTCACAGCTTTAGTAGATTTTCTGCTGATTTGGAAGAAGCAGCTTTTGTTTTCCCTCCTCTTTTCAAGTACTCCATAATATCATGACGAAAGAGAGCAGCTTACATTAGGAGATAGACCAGCAGCAAACCAATGCCCACCTCCAGGATGATGGTCCACCTTAATAGTTTGAGCGACAGGCTGAAAAACACATTGATGCAAGAGGAAGAGATACGTACAGATAGGTCAGCACAAATGTCCATAAAATAGAACAAGGTTGGGCCTCACTTCAACAAAAAAGGGATACACCTTCAACTACCCAAAGATCATGTTTTTACATAGAAAACAACACAAGCACAATATAGACAATATATACAGGGACAACTAGCTCACTTCCTTGAGAGGAACAACCAGTGTGTTGTAATAGTATATAAAGTTGGTAAAGCATACATGCAATGAAGAACCTACCATGCGAGGAGTCTCAGGAGGAGGGTTATAAGGGCATGTAAATGGTTCCCCTGTAACAAAAGGATGCTTCGAAGCCTGCAGAATGACTATTTGGGTTAAAACTATTCCTAGGAACTGGTTACAAATTCATATTAGAACAACCAGAGAGTTCAACTCTGCAAGTATAGAATAAATATCTGAATGGCAACTTGAATACCTGAATTGGTGACCACCTTTTCGCAGGATCAAACTCAACAAGTCCCTTCAAGAAATCAATCAGAGCTAATCGTATTTGACTTTCTGTTGTACATAGTTAAGTGTCATCAGACCCATCTTCAACACAGATGAAGACACATAAAATGAGTCATTATGTAGATATTCTTTGGACAGAGAAATACACCTTTCATAACATCTTCTTGTGCCAAGTTCTTCCGGTAGGGATAGTTTGTCACAATAGCCTCAAGGTTCATACGATTGAAATACTCCTTCCCCATAGATGGCTTCTTCAATTCTCTCTGAACAGAAGAAGTAATCACTGACATAAGGAACAGCACAGGTGACATAGGAGAGAGCACACTCATGCATCAAGCTCTCCAGTTATCAAATACTTAATGGTTTCCACCTACTTCAAGAAACAGATGAGGCACTTACAGCTTCATATTCTTCTATAGTTAGTGCTTGATACGCGGTTCTGCCACCCAATGAGGCCTCAACACCCTCTAAGTTGCAAATGCTGCCAATGCATTTGAAGAATTTGCTGGTGTTCTTTGCCTCCTTCAGCACATAATCAGGAGGTTGTCCTCTACAACATTTTAGCCAACAATGACAAAGTCCAAGAATCAATCAACCAGTATCCTTTAATAGAGCATGGGCGATAAAACAGAACAAACCACGGAATATAGAGAACGAGAACAGCGTAAGAAATAGTTAGCTTCACTTGGAACAGTATACTGGGCAACGTCTAAACCGCATGGACAGTGAAATCCTACCGTGCTTTTTGTTAGGTCACATGGCTACTTTTAGCGGTAGGTCTAGGTTCAGCATTTTACTAATTGAATTAAAGTAAAAGTACTTTCTTTATTTTCAGTATTGGTAGATGGTGAAGTAAAAGATGGAAAGGATGTACTCTGCAAATTATTAGAATTGAACTGTTTAGATCCTAAACTTTCGAATGTGGTGAAATCGAAACTGAAGAGGACCTGCTTTAGAGCTTGATATGCCCAGTAGAGAAGTGTAATAACAAATACAAAAGACATAAAACCAAGTTTATGAATTCAACTAATAGACTCCTTCATTGAAGTGAAGCACGGGGTATATACTAATTACCTCAAAATTTAACAGATCATTGAACATAATGAACTATCAATTTGGGGTGAAAGAATAACGGACTTACCCAAGTATTTCAATCATTCGCCTTAACAAATCAAACTCTGAGGCCCCAGGAAAGAGAGGCAACCCTAGAAACAATTCTGCAACAATGCATCCGAAAGACCACATATCGATTGCCGTAGTATATCTTGAAATGGCTAAGGTCAAGTCATAACTCATAAGTTTGTGACAAGAAGATCAACCACAGACGAGAATTTCATATGCATCCAATTGACAACTAACTGACCAAGAAAAAAGCATCAAGTTTAACATTTTATTAATGTGCAACTGACGGAATGGAACACAATATTATAATCTTGCTCCTTTACAGTCAACACAGGACAAAGTGGCACCAGAAGTGCAACTCTTTTAATGCAACCACTTAGATGCTTCACGTTTGAAATGTCCATTAATTCCTTGCACTCTTTCATAAATAAAACAAAGTTGTGCACAATGAAAATGCCCATACAATAGCTTTCTACCAAGTGCTAAACTTTAAACTTGAATATTGTCCAGTTCCCTATATCTCTTAACTGAGATCCTCTGATTCTCTTGAGCCGTCACCTTGTTTTATCATATATTAATACTTCGTGGGCATTCAACAAAAGAAGTAAAGAAAACCTAAAAACAAAACATCCACGAAACCTACATTTCATTTGGAAGGATACTGATATCCTAGAAGAACTTCAGGAGACCTGTAATAACGACTCTGCAATCAAACAGAAAAATGCAAGTCATTCCAAACAGGGCTATGATAAAATAAATAAATCAACTAATTAAACAAATATATAAGTGAACCTGGATGTAAGAGTAGACTGTACGATCCTCCATGCAGGCTGATCCAAAGTCAATTATCTTAACTTCTGCTGGCTTCAAACTGTTTTTCCAAGGACAAAAAAAACGACAAATGGAAATGACGAAATGCCAGTCATTCGGCAAAAAAACCTCATTCTTTCAGGACAACTACCTTGTGCACAAAAGAACATTTTCTGGTTTCAGATCACAATGGATTATACCAGCATCTTTCAACAAGGCCAATCCACGTAAGATCTGTTGAAAGTAAAAACGGTTTAAAGACAAGCAAACAAAAGCAAGTGAAACACAATGGAGATTTTTTTTCAAATAATGAAAAGCAGCCATATGCTTTACCTGTTTGGAAAATAATTGAACAATGCTCAAAGATAGCCCCCTAAATTGATTTATCTTAATAAGCTCATACCTGGTAGCACCAAATGGTCAGAATACAATATACAAAGCAAAAATAAACAAGAGAAAAGAGATTAACGTCGAGAATATTAACCAATAGATCAAGTAACACATCACAAATTAATTAGTGAGTTTTTTAGGCCAGCTTACAAGTTTGTGTCGAGCAATTCAAAGCAAATGCAAAGGTGCCGGTGATGGACAAAGTAATCATAGATACGGACAATATGATGCTTATCTTCAGGATCATACTTCTTGTTTAGCTGAAAATGAACCGAAAAGAGCATCAGTATCAGACTGCAAACAGGGATGAGACGACATTTAAAACAGCTTCATAATTACCGTTGTCAAAATAGATACTTCAACAAGTGCTTGTTGATAATAAGCTGGTTGGTTTTTAATTATCTTTACTGCAACAAAACTGTTAGTTTCCGCAACCCAGCATTTAGCAACCTGGCCAAAAGTTCCTTGGCCAAGGACATCTTTGACAACGTATCTGCAGATGTCAAGAGTATTGACCAAACCATTAAAGTGAAAGAAATTAAATTATAATCGTTCATACAGGCATCACACTTCCTTGAACTTATCAAACTTTGATAAAAGATCAAGTTAACACAGATATCAGGTGTAGTAAACAAAATCATAGAGATGTTTAATTAAACTACTAATGTCCACAGGCAAACAGGTGTTTCAGGATACAAACAGATTCTAAAAGGAAATTGAACCACAAGGTGCTGGACATTAATTTTTGCACCTATTGTCTTAAAAAGCTCATGGCTTCAGTAGAAACCACACAAAAGCCAGAGTGGCGAATTTACCAAGGGAGAAACACATGAATTGAGTGGGAAAGGGAATGCAAAAAAAAAAAAAAAAAAAAAGACAAGTGAAAGAATTTTAAAGACATCTCGTGGCCAATTACTTCAACCAACTTCAAAGTTAAGTTATCCATAGATAAACTTATTCCTATATTGAGGCTGAATATTGGTTAAGAAAATTACATATTATCATAAATCATCCAACATCATCAAGAATTCAGCTACTATTGTAAAATTTCAGATATATATATGTATGTAAAGTTTTACAATGAAATTTGCTATACTGGTTGGATACAGAGTGAGAAGGGGTGAAGAAAAAAAGTATGAACAAACCTTCTTTGCGTCTCGAGGTTGATCAAGGGGCAATTCACGCTCAAAATAAGATCCGAGTTTAGATTATCATGGCCATCATTGAGAACTCCAATTGATGGACTGGTCAGGTATCTCTTGGGATTTAAGTCTTCTGAATATTTAAATTGAGGATTGCACTTTTTATAAGTTTCAACTATGTCTTTGGTCAATCTTGCCACCAACTGCATATTAGAAGTCATCAATTAGCATAATGACTAGACTCTAGTAAATTTAATCTCCCGTTGACATAATAGAAATACCAATTATCATAACAGACCCCCCTTGTTTTGTTTAAGGTAACAAGACAATTGAACTTACATAAAGACAAAAGTTTGAAACCAGAACAAGGACATGCAGGCTAATGCCACCTTCACCTAAAGTAGGTATATAATCCAGCAGCAATTAGCAATATAAGTTATGCACATCTTATGACACACATTCTCATAGACCACCATATGGCCATTCAAAATATTAACTCAAAACACTTAAAGCAGTTGAATGGTTATGAGAAGACTAGACTGCATACATGGGAGATGACACCAGACAGCAGAAAATGTCAGAGATGAATATGCCTATGGGAGATCAAGAACAATTCATATAATTCACTAACCTAATGATTAAAAGAACTAGCTACCCTGGGAACTCTGCATAACAGGCACTCTCTTATGTCAATAATGTGGACACATATTACCAAGAGCAGGGAAAGCTTACGTCTTTGAAGTACAAAATCCCTAATCCAGACATCTATTATATAACAGCCCAGTCACCCAGAATGCATCTATAAGAACAAAAGAAGAAGAACTGAGGAGGCACCAATTCATTGAAGGTTAATGCCTCAGTCCTCACTATGGCATACCATTAAACGGACGAAAATAAAGAAACTTTAGCTTGTAACATGTAGCAACGATAAGCATATAGCTTCTACCAAAGGGAATTACTAGAGAAAAGGTTAACTGACCAGTTCTTGTTTCAACAAATGTATCAACTAGCTTCTAATGATACTTGCATTATGCGACTCACTGCACTATGACAGGGTTAAAAACAAGTTGCTTATCAGACTAGAAATACAGTATATAACAGAGCCTAGGTGAACCTTAACCCAAAAGCAATCAATCCTACAAGGAAGTGCAAAAGCACCAACATTATAGCTCCAGGTATAAAGAGAAGAGACCTATAATTTTTAGTGTTTGATGGCTGACATCCATAATGAAAAGGTGATTCCTAAACAATCTGAAGATTAGCAATATGTACAGCAAGGTGTTGGCAATATAGCAATAGAATGCATGATGCTTCTTATCTTGTTAGTTGTTATACACTAATCCACCCACATAACTCCTGCTTTATGCTTCAAACAGATGTCGATTCCTAGGAGAAAATAACTATCAAGAACGTCTTTTTTCGTTAGGGAAATTGAATGTTTGTCTATGGTCCAGAGAATGCATTCGTTAGGTGAAAGGATACCGTCTGCCTGCACATTCGTTGCAAATATGTAAATATTTCCTTCCAGTGATTTCAAGAGAAATTGAGCTATCATTTTCCTACCGAATCGAGCTAGCTCACATCTCCTGCGATGTCAGGTAGATAATGCGAGCCTGTACGCAAACGAACAGACTCCAGAACAGAAAGAGGGCAGAGAAGCACTTACAGGTCTCTTTACAACAACGCGCTCAGTTTGCAACCGGTGATCAGCTTGATATAGCTTGAAAGCCAGCTGCCTCGGCTGCCATGGCGTCGAAATACCTTCCCGCACTTGAGGCTCGCCAGTAACTCCCTTGCCCCCATCCATTGACCAACGACAAGATCAAAACAAGAACACCCCAAAACCACCAAACTTATCAATCAAAGGCCTCCTGTCCCCATTCAGTTCAGAGCATTAATCTCCCAACCGCAACTGAAGCGATCAATCACCGATTGGAAGAAGAGAGACAAGTAGTAGCAGTAGAAGAAGGGCGCCCAGACGTAGGAGTAGTAGTAGCAGCAGCGAATTTTGGAGCAGAAGCCGCAAAGGAGGAATGGTGGACGGCACCTGCGGATTCTAATCCCATAATCTCTCTTCATTCATTCACATCATTTCACTTCCGGCGATTTTGTAAACTTCCCAACTGGAAAAATTTCCCCCAATTCGCCGCTAGAAGTCTTTCCCTCGCTGCGACGAGAGAGGCGCGGAATGATTTTCCCCAAACAGCCGAAAGGATGAAGAAAACCGTATTAAACCTGGCAATCAGGCAACTGGGCGGAGGAGAATGAAGACAGAAGCTTGAGTAAGAGAAGAGAATCGGATGACAATTCCGCCGGTGATTAGAGATTGGCGACACGGGCGATAAGAATGAATGAAGACGGGATTGAGGTGGAAACGGGAAAGACAGACGGCGAGAGAGAGAGAGAGAGAGAGGGAATTGTGTGTAGTTCTGTCCTTCCTTGCCTTCTTTTCTTTCTCTTCTTTTCCCATCTTTTGCCTCTCGGACTAATTTTGTTTTTGTTTGTTTTCCGGGTCGCTCCAAAAATAAAAGAGAACCTTTTCTTTTTAGTTATCGAAAAAATTATTGTTTGTTAAAAAAAATTGTTTTGTGTCAAATTGTAATTCCTTCCCCAACACGAGAACTACAAAAGTCAAATTATTGTAAATTTAAAAAATTGCTGCAAATATGTTGTATTTTTGGGTGGTTTGGTTTTTGTGATATATAGTTATATTATTTTAATTGTCTACATTGCATTTTTATTTTATTTTATGCACAAAGAGTACAAGTACTTATGGCTTGATGTGCCAGGAACTATAACATAAAAATGAGTGATAGTTAAATTCAGTATTTGTGAAAGTGTATTGACTGAAAAAGCATCCTACCGGAAGCTAAGTCGATAGACAATTTTTAGTGGTATAGAAGGTTGAACCACGGCTAAATCATGATTTCACCACTTTAGCTAAATTTTTCGGTATGGTTTCCAATCATTGGTTAAATCTCATGTTTTATCTGATATTGTTGAGAGAGTTTAATTTTTTTTTTTATAAATACAATATACTAACTACAACTATATAGAAACGGGAAATTATAACCACAACTAATGAAATACAAACTATTAGCCAAAACTATTGTATAGAACCATGGAATGGCTAACTGTTTGTTACTGTTATAAATTTTATAACGGTGACTGCCACGTCAGCATTCATATTAGCGTCCACATCAGAAAATATTAATATAACAATTTTATTTAAGTAATTATTATTATTAAAAAAAATAGAAAACCTAACCCCCCACCCACCTCCGTCCCGTCGTTCTTCTTCGCTGCTTTCCTCATCTTCTTCTCCCCTTCTCTTCTTCCTCCACCTACTCGACGACCCCAAACTCCTCTGCTCAAGCTCTTCTTCCTCATCTTCTCCCCATCGACGGTATAGGCTATGACGGAGAGGAGGAGCGAAGGTGGTGAGATGGAGGGCCGACAGCGAAGGCGGTGACAGAGGCAGAGAGGAGCCGACGGCGGCGGTGAGCTAGAGGGAAGCATTGGGCAGAGGGCGAGTGATTGATTTCGGTGACGGAATGAAACCCAGAATTAGGGATTTTTGGGCGGATTAGGAAAAGTATAAGAGAAGATTGAGATTTCGGCGGCGGAATGAAACCCATATTTGGGTTTGCTCGCAGCTCCCCCGGCTCTCCAATGCATCAACGCCATCCTCCCCTCTCTCCTTCACGCCTCGCATATGATTCTCTCTCTCTCCCCATCTCAATCATCAAATCGTCTCCTTACCGCCAAAGCCTTTTGTTGATTCGGTTGCCTGAAATCAGAGGTGTTTTTCTCTGTCTCCCCACCAACCGACTTTTGCCCTAGATAGTCGTTTCTAATTTCTAGGGCTGGATTATGACGGTTGTGAGTTATGTCTGAAGTCTGATTGGTGATTGCAAAAGAGTAGGGTTTGTGAGTTTGGAAGGGAAGACGACCGTTCCATGGGGAGGTATCAATTGTTGTTTGAGTTGCTCGGAGAAAACTCTTTAGAGCTAATCGGAGAGGATGAGAGAGCGCAAGGGAAGAGAGCATAGGAAGAAGAAGAGGCATATTTCTTTTAGTTCTTTTTTAGATTTTTTGTGTATCATTTTTTAATTTTTTAATATTTTATTTTTTAAATTAAAATTAAAATATGATATATTAACTCCGACTTAGGAGCCAGCTCAGCGTCGTAAAAGTTTTGTCAGTATTACTAATGGAATTGCTAACAGAAACTTAACGTTTAGCTAATAATTTGTATATCGATAGTTATAGCTATAATTTTCCATTTATTAATAATTGTAGCTAATATATTGTATTTACCCTTTTTCCAACCAGAACCCTAACTTTTTATATATGTTGCTTTTTTACATTAATAAAAGCAAAAGGTAAAAGTGGTATTTCTCCCAAAAAATATAATATTACATATTTAAATACTGTAATAACTATCGCAAAAACCCAACAATGTAAACTATAATACACCAGTTTTCTTATTACATATATACTATTACACATGTATTATTCACAATATATCAATTTAACTATCACGACGATCCCTTTACAACACAAATACACAAATATTGTATTTTAAATAGCTAAGTATGTGTATGCACGTACACCAAGCAAAATATGCAAAGTTTAGCACAACTCAACAACGTGAAAGCTGAGCTCAACTTTACGAAGTTTTGTACACCATGTGGGTAATCTTCTGCCAGAGTGACTCGCTAGCTACTAACTACTTATCCCAATCGTAGGCCAAAGTGCAAACATCAATAAAGTGTAGTATAGCAAAAGTAGGTTTTAATTATCAACCCGGATGACAAATCTAATATTATTTGGTGAACTAAATTATTATCTAGCAACTAAAGAGCAAAGAAAATAAAGATAGGTTGAGATCTATTGAGAGAAAGTTACTCAGGTGTGCTTCTCTCTAGCTAAAAATTAAAACGATGATTGATGTTCCCAGCTTGCCCACTCGAGATTTATACCACGGAGAATCCTAAACCCACTCGAACTCTCTCTCAAGTTATCCAAGCGCACGTAAGACGAATTATTTGGAGTTAGAGTTTCCGCATCCGGCAAAATAAAACACCTAGAGCATGCCAATTAGATTCCCACTAATGGATAATGTGCAATACGACATTATAGTCCGATTTCAAACTCGATCCATCGAACCGCAATGAAAAATTGAAAATTTTCTCTAATAAATCTAATCGGATAATATGTACATTTAGGTTAATAGCAATAATTGGAGAGTTTGATCAATACCCAACCCAATTCCATGAAATTCCTCATTCTATATATAATCAAGCTTTCAAACAAGCACAAGAATCATTCAATCATCTAATCTAAACATACGCTAGAGTTCTACAACACTCAAGTGAATAAGGGTTCTACTCCATAGTGGGAGAATGAGGAAGAATCACCAACTCAAGAAGAAAAATTAACTCCTTAGGTGGAAATCTTCACTCTAAATGAGATTTGATGCCTTGAATCACCCCCTTGAACTCCTTGTTCGTCAGTCTCTCTAGGATGCTGATGCTTTCTCTCTCTAAAACTCACCCATTTGGAATCTGCTTTCAGCTTCTATTTATATCCAAAAGTCTCAAAGTCACGGTTGAACGCCACGGTCATGACATTAATAGGTAAGTTGTGACATCGAACCAAAGTGCATTGCTTCATTATGAATGTCACGTTTCGCAAATGTCACGGTTGAAACCGTGACATCCTCAAGTGTCCGCGAAAAGCAAGTAACCTCTTTGAATTCTTATAATTCTGAATATTTCTTCATAGAAGTCACGGTCTGACCTTGACAATCTTCTCTGAAACGCGAATTTCAGCATTTTCTTCACTTTATCTTGGTTTTGACTCCAATTGACTTAACAATCGCGCATTTTGCCATATTTACCTGCTAGGACATGAAATGTACTCAACCAATCATAACTTAGTGTGAAACGACCTAAAGAATGACTAATAACAAGTAAGATTATCAAAGAAAGAGGGTGTAAATATGTGTAAGTAAGCCCAAATCAACCCCCCCCCCCCCCCCCCCCCCCCCCCCCCCCCCCCCCCCCCCCCGGCACTTAACTGTTTGCTTGTTCCCAAGCACATCTAGCTCAAACCATTGCGACTTGATAGACCCCCACAATGGTATGCAATCTAGATCATTGGTAGCGGGTAAAGTAGCAACTTACTAGGTCAACCGGAGACAAGAAATCTCACAGCCACCTCAATGTGAAGCACAAAATCAAGTTGGGACCTTGGTGACTATTGAAGCCAAGACACGTGTCATGTGCATGAAGGGACTCTAAAAAAGATTGAAAACTATGGATTCAATGGTGGTGCTCCCACTTAAAAGGGGCTCAAACTTTTGAGCCTCAACCTACATTGTCGCTCATAGCATCACACTTGCAGTTTTGCAAAACAAGGGCACTATCTCATGGCTAGAGCAGAAGGGACATCCACTTCCCTATCTAGCCCATGTGGGGAAAGAGGTGTAAAGTGAGGAGGGAAGGTAGTAGAAGAAGGGTAGGATGCAAGAGGATCCTCAACTCACTTTACCCTTAGGTCACCCAATTTGTGGGTATGCAGTCATCGCTCCTGCTTCGGCGCTTTTGATTTTTATAGAGCGCGAACTATATTCTTGAATTTGCATCCGATCAACGATTTTGCGTCATGCCACCAACAGGATGGACTTATACACAATCTTCTAGTGCTCTTGAAGCGATTGATCCAGGCGTGAACAAAAGTGAAGGAGCACAATGATGGCTCAGAAAAACGGAGAGTCACCACCGCTTCGGCGCGTCGGGA